TCATTCATATTCTGGCCATTGAAATGTGCTTATATGATTATATTTACATTAGATATTTTTATGAATTGCGGTATTTCAGATTATCATATGTAAATGTAAGTTATATTTAACAAATATTTTGTACATTTTATAAATATTTGCGCTTCATTTCATTATATTATAATTTATTTTTTAAAAAAAAGACAGCAAGGCATATATTGTAAAAAAGGAAAAAAATAAAAATATGAAATAAACGAACTAGTCTAAGATTATTTAGCCCAAATATGCTTAAAATTTAATTTCTGCTTCTTTTCTGAATTTAAGAGCAAAAAAAAAAAAGTAATAGCATGAATTTTGAAGATTTAAAAATGGAAGTCTATGTTTGATAAATGCAAAGAAACTAGTTGGAGAGTAAAATGACGAATCTCGATAAAATTTAGAATCGATAAATAGATGGCTAGTTATAAGTTTACTTATGTGTCACTTATAATATCGAAAAAAGATTGAAGAGGATCGATTAACAAAAGATTGTTTTGATAACAATCTTCTCGGAGACATCTTTGTGGTCTTCAATGATAGATTTTGAAATGAAAGAAGAGTTACTGATGTGTTATGATCCATAATTGTTGATTACTACGTTTTACTTAACACAAACAATATTAAAAGAAAAAATATTTAAAGAAAAAAACAAGCTAAGTGTTTGCTTCGCGTTGCTATGGATTATGTTTTTCAACCAATTCCTCATTTTCTCCACCTCATCAATTCCTTAATTTCTTAACTATTTGTTTATTTGATCCCTAAAAAAAAAAAAAAAAAAAAAAAAAAAAAAAAATTAGTGGTAATTGTCAAGATTGTCCAATTATTATCATGATTAATGTCATTTTTTATTCTAATACCTCTTTGTAATTGAAAAGACATTTAGAATTAATTTCAGCTTACTTTATAGTACCATTTAATAAGTTTTACTATTGAGTTATTAATGCTATTAAATATTTTCTCTTACAAACTTTTGAAAAACTTTCCAAATTAAAGGGGAAAAAAACAGAAAAAAGAAAATTTATCAATGTATGAATCAAAAACAAAATGTTATTTTGCATCTATTAGTCGCCATAGTATAATTATATATATAAATATGGAAAATAATTTATGAGCGATATTCAAAAAAATGAGGTCTTTTTTTAAATCCATTAATTTCAAAAATAATACTTATTTGAAACTTCTCGAATAATGCAAAAGAGAATAAAAGGCGCCTTTAATTCCTTCTCGAAAATTTCCGATCTTTTGCTTGAAAAAAAAAAAAAAAAACAGGAAGATTTTTTTAATTTTTTCATGAACTTAACTAATAGTAACAAAGCAAATTGTACGATTCAAATTGAAAATTATTGAATTTGGATAAAAAAATCCGAGTTTTTTTTTTGGTCAGTGGTCAGTGAAATGTGTTTTTTCATGTCATTAACAGGAAAAAGTTATCGAGGAGAAGAAAAAGTTGCAAAATGACAGAATTGGTGTAGATTACTACAACTTAAAAATATCATATATACTCTAACTTTTACGTCAATGAAGTCATTGTCTCATTGTCGAATGGTAGATAAATAAAGTGTTATGATGCAATTCAATAAACAAAGCTTAGCAAATGATTTTTTATTAACGCAAATTCTTTATATTAAAAGCTTTTGTTCACTGACTGAAATATAAAATATTTTCCATTTATTTCTAACATTTTCTATGCATTATGAAAATTGTTAGCGTATTGCAGCTTTACGTTTTACTTAAAATTATGGCTCATTTCATTCTTTCAAATTAATCCTAAGTGACATTTACCTTCAGTTGTGAAGCACAAATTTGTAAAAGCAAATCATTTTGCTATGCTTATATAATAAAAATATGTTTTAGGAAACAAAAAAAAATTTCATGGAGTATTTGCAAATGATGTGCTACTTTTGCGCTCATTTGTCACTAATTAATTAAATTTGATTCCTATCAGCGGAATGCAAATATAATGCCGCATTTATTAGCATAATGTCAACGATCGATTTTAATTTAAAACGTTATGCTCGTCTTTTTCACTTTGACATTTGCGCCACAGTGTATGTTCCATGACACTGATGACCTTTTTAGTTTGTATTTACAAGAAATGAATAAGTTATCATGCAAAAAATCCTTTGAGACATACTTCAAAATGCTATTTTTAAATGCTGTATTATGTTAGTCATTGTGTTAGCCACTGATTTTTTTGGTGATATCAGTTGATATAATTTTAGAATTTAAGCAGTTAGATTATCGTATAGTACCACATCTTGATTTGAAATCATTCTTGTTAAATATATTAACAAAACTTTTTCTAATCTTTGATCGGTGAACCGTATAATCTTTGGTCTTTCTGATCATTTCAAATTTTTTAAAATTTAATTAATTAAATGTTGCGATTAGCAACTTCTTATTCACACGACTATAAAACATCGAAAATTGCTCAACTGATTATCAATATATCCCATATCATAGAATTATACTCATACGAATATCACTTCACTTTGTGCTTTCTTAAAATTTATTTTTAAATTAGTAATATCAGTTGACATAATTTTAGGATTTGAAGAATTATTTTGATCTGAAGTTGGTTACATGTCTATCTCAAATTACATTCCAGAAGAACAAATGTAATTTGTAGAGAATATGCAATTAATTTTCTATCAAGATTAAATTCAGGTCAGCACGCCATTCTTATATTTTGCATTTTATAAATTTATAAGATATCATAAGATTATGTGTTCAGTAGAGAGATTAAAATATCGCATGTTGAATTTGTTTTATTTCGATAAAATGTTTGCAAAACATGGAGATGTGAAGAGGTGAGGAAGAGAAAACTTGGTAATTTAAATAAATTGTGATAAGCCTATTTCTGTTCATCATTTCGGCCAATAATCTTGTTAAAGTTTTTTTCCCTCTTATCTACTCTTTTCCTTTTAGATCCCTTAAACTCTTCGCTTCTTTGAATATAACAAAATTTTGATAAATAGTGAAGTTGCTTATTGCTACTAATAATGCTTCTTCTTTCTTCTCTCTTCTCTTTTCTTATTTACATTTTTGCGTCTAATTTTCATCTTTTTTCAATAATCTATCAAAAATCTTGAGAAAGTAGATAGTGAAAACAAGAGAGAAAGGAAGAGAGAAAAACATATAAAGGAGAGAGAGAGAGAGAGTAGATTGAATTAGTAAGAATCTTAAATTTACTCACATTTGGTTCTAATGGTTGACATGAAAGATTATTCAGTTTTAGTTCAGTGAAAAAGAATGGTAAAAACGAAATATTTTTCAGTTTCGCTTTTTGTTTAGAAAGTGAAATTGTCCTAAAAGGAAAAAAAAAGTCAAAGTTTATTGTTGTTAAAATGAATGGTTTATAATTTGTAAATGTTTAATGAAATAAATAGTCAGGTAGAAGAATTAAAACGAGAAATATTAATTCATGCTTACGTTGATTTTTGAAATGCGCAGTAGTTATTGCTTGAATTAAGTTAAAATTATGGCGCAATTGACGGAGTTACTATTTTATTTATGCTATTCTCAGATCGTTCCCCATTTACATTCTTGGATGCATTAGCACCAAGTGCACTAGCCTCTGAAGAAGGATTTTGTCCTTTTTTTTTTTTTTTTTTTTTGCTATAAAAGGATGAATAAGTTATATTTCTTTCTAAAAACCCAAAATACAAAAAAAAAAGTCTTTTTCATAATTTTGAATTTCAATTTTATCTATTGATTATTTTATATATGATTATGATGCTTAATTCTTTTTACCTGTTTAATTAATCGTATATCAATTTACTGACAAACATGCAAATTAATGGAGTAATTAAACAACCGCATAATCGTTAGTTGTATTCTGTCCCGAATTTCGAAGCATCTTCCATTTTTTAATCTCTTGATTAGCACTATTTTATTATTGTAGTTTAGAAGGTTTAAATAAGATTTTTTTGCATATTTCTTAAACTTCAATTTTGATAAAGTTGTCTCCCTCTCTTTTAGTAATTCTTTTTTAAATTAAATTTCTTATATGCCCAATATAAGCGAACTCAAGTAGCGTGAAAAGAATTGAGTTGTTCTATCAATTTAAAGGTATAAACTTAATTTTCTTCTCAAAATATGACCGTTAAATTCTTGACTATTAAATTATGCTAATTAACTAATATATATAATACATGAACTAGATTTAGTAAATATTGTTTTGTAAAAGTATTAACAATTAATTTAACATTTTCAGAAATTCACAACATGAATATGAAACTTCTAAGATTGATGATAAAGAAAGCTCCATTCTTGAATGGAGAAGAAAGAGAGAGAGAGAGACAAAGAAAGGGAATGAATGAATGAATGATGATATGATATGATATGATATCATATATGTTTGTTTAATATAGGTCATCGATTGTACATTTATCGATTTGTTTTATTAGTTCTGATGAATTTTCTCACAACAATAATTTATCGTAAATTAGTTAGGAAAATTGTTAATTTTAGCTTGTTATCAAATTAACTTGTTGATTATTATCATATCAGGTACTACTTATGGTTAATTTGTTGCATCGGAATTTTGAAATGGAAGAAAAAAAAGGGATTGTGATGAAGTGCTAGTATAAGTTAATAATCAGTGCTATTTATTATCATTTTAAATATATCGTTGTCCATCACTGATTTTTTTTCTAATTTATATAAGTTTCGAAACTATCGCATTCTTATTTATGGGCATAGAAACGGTATCAATCATTCAATTAGCATTCAGTTTTGATCCAATTTTGCACTTTGAATAACTAATATGGTTTTTTAATTTCTCATCAGAATACATAGTTTTTTTTTTTTTTTTTTTTTTTTTTCCATTTATCTCTAATTTTTAATTAATATCTAAATTACTTATGTGAATATAACCGGTTGCAATCACGCCACTATTTAATAATAATCAACAAATGCTTAATTATATTAGTAATATTTTTTCGTACAGCTTTAAATTTCTTATTGAAATTCAATTCCAGATGGTATCTTTAAAGCAAGAATTCGAGTTTTACGATTATTTTGGACCGGTAGCTGTAATATCACTATTCGCTATCACTATACTGCTAATTTCATTCTTCATCCTCAATTTCTTCTTTATTTCCAAACACGATGAACCAACCGTCTTCGAACGAGTAAGTTAATCATATGTCAATGAGTAAGCTAATCAGATTTCAATTAAATCAATGATAAGGAACACATAGCATCGGCTTATTATGCCTTTTGGGGCTGATTTTGATTTGATCCTATGCATTTTATGAGTTATTAAGAGTATCATATAAATTAGTAATTAAAAAAAAAAAATTATTTTATATTCTAGTTGAAATTTAGTCATAAAAAAAAACGACTGAAAATTATTGCAATTTATTTTTATATTAGTAATATATGTAAATTGAAGTATCTTTCATCATTCATGATTTGACTAATTTAATTTTAATGCCTATTTGTAGTATTTCCTCTCTCGGTTTTATATTTTAGATTGCCTCAAAACACAATCTAAGGCTTGGACCGCACAGTGTAAAAACCGTAATAAGTCGTAAGCAACGATATATGAAGGATAATAATAGCGGTGATCCGGATGGATCAGTTCATGAGTCTCGAAAGGTTGTATTCACAAAAGAACCGGAACCGGAAGTGCACATCAATTCTGCTTAATGCTCTAAATAACTATTAATAACTTGAGCGTATTATCAATACTTACTTACGGTTAATCAGTTATGGTATTGTTTGCATGTTTAAACAGACGTCTACTAATCTTTGTAGTATGAAGTACTTATCTTTCTGCAGATTTAATTTTTTGTTATCACTGATAACTTTTAAAAAATAAGAGAAAAAACTTCAAATCCTTTAATGTAAGAGTTGTCACAATTTTAAGATTTTATTCTAAATCTTAATTTTATTTCTTAGTTTAATTTTCCCAAATGATCAATTTGGATTTTTGTTTTCTCTAAAACATTGCCATCATTCCGTCAAGAACGAAGTTATCGAATTCCTCTAAATTTTACTTTTAAAAATATTTCTGTATTCCTGAGAAAACAATTTTAAACTGTTTTAATTTTTTAAAAAAAATTGTAAATTGTTAAAATTAGAAAAATTAAAAGGATGTATAGCAAAATTATTGTTTACTTTTTTAAAATATATTTTATTTGAAGTTCTTTTTCTTTTATTTTTTGGTGAAATGTTGGAATTTGTTCATAACTTTCTTCTTATGTTTTCGTTACAAAAATAATACTTCCAGTTTTAGTTTTTACTACTTTTTTTCTTTTTTTTTTTTGTTTGAAACTTTTATAAATTTTTATTTGTAGATGGTATATTTTTCTGTTTACAAGACGATATCAACGTACAGATTTAATTAGAAGTTTTTAAGTATGAATAGTGCGAAATTTCTAAAGCATTTTTTTTTACGTAACAAAGAGGATTAATCTATTATCGCAATTATCTGCATTGCATGCATGGACATGCGCAACATACGATTGCAAAAAAATCTTGCAGACATTTTGCAGTCTGAGTAAGCCTTTCCTAGTTACACACTATTACACATTTTTCACATTCCGTACTGTCTCACTATTTTACCATATTTATACTTTACTTTTAATATCCATCCTTAAATCTAATTATATATTGTGTCATCTCAATAACAATTTTAAAATATTATTGGCCAAAGTTGATAATTTTGATAATTAAACTTTTTTTTGCAAACATTCATAGTTACGCGCAGCACATCCAATAATTGCGGTTCATATTCTTCATATCTTCCAGTTTCATGTTTACATTTTCCACACCTCATTCATTATTATTATTATTATTATTATTGTTATTGTCATTATTATGATTACCATTATCCATAATTATTAGCTATTATTACTTTCCAACATACAATTGATGCAAACTCCTATAAATTATGAATGTTTTCAAAAACTTTCAAAGATTCGCAAAAACGAAAATTTTAATACCACTATTCATATTGGAATTTAAAGATGGATGTAATTGTATTAAAAATTATTTACTGTTACTACTATTACCATTAATATATCACTATTACAACTATTAGTGTTATTCATAGTAAGTGGGAAAATTCATTAATTATATTATTTAAAGATTAAACTATACTTTTTAAAGAATTTTAGAAAAGAATTTCATCGAGCTTCTATTTCAAAGATTTTATTCCTTGTATAATTGTCATTTTGTAGACTATAATACATAATACATATTAGTGATGCTCATGTAGGTATTAGTTAACTTATCTTTTTTTTTCAATATTGACACGCTGTTTTGAACTTTGCTTTTTGAAGTAAATAAAAATTCATTTACATTATTATCGATCATTTGATTTTTATAGCAATTCTTTAAAATAACTCAACAACTTATCACGAGTTCACTTTGTGACAAGCGATAATGTCTAGCAAATATTTATTCTTTACAATATTTTATGTATTTTTTCTTTTTTTTTTTACAATTTCAGATTTACCTTTCCTTCTTTCCTTTCCACTAAAACAAATCTAAATTTGTAGTGTTCTGCATGATAGAATTAGCTGAACATATAATTTCATACAAGGCAAATTATTTTAGGTATTTCCTTTAATAAAATAATTATATTTAATCATATAGAGTAGCTCCATTTAATCATAGGTAGTATTACGATACCGCAAAACTAAATTTGATTAAACACAACATTCTATAGATTAAATTTATCGCTAGGCTTGACAAAAAAAGATAAAATAATTTAGCTGATAAAATAATGAAATTTCATTGCTGTTTACTTGGCTCTGAAAAATCAATCATTGTCCTCATTCATAAACAAATATCAAAAATTATGTACAACAAAGGCAAATAAATTCTAATTTGGCCTATAAAATCATTTGGTGAAAATAGCGAAATTATTTACCAAAAATAAAAAATTCGGAATATCCCTGAAAATGGAAAAAATCTGAAAAAATTGTCGTAAGAAATTAGATATTCTTTTTTTTTTTTTTTTTTTCACGTATTTGATGATAAAAATGATTAATGTTAACGTAGTAGCATAGTTAAACTGAAAATTCTACTAACAATTAATAATTATATAATCAATTAACGTTCATCCTTAGTAATAATTTATCTGCATTTCTCCCAGTTCTTATCAATCTTTGCAACCTCTTCACCCAACAACACTATTTCCTTTCAGTTCATCTTTTCATTCGTTCAGTCTTGATTTAAACAATCAAACTGTACATCACAGCGATCACGTTACATGCATAAAATAAAGAGATAGTTAACTATAAGAAATATGTAAAAATCAATATAGACTTTTAATATTTTCCTAAATTATTTGAAACTTTTTTAAGATATATTCGTTTATCAATTTATCATTTTTAAAATGATTTTGACCAATAAATGTATATTAAAAATATATCGCACTTACACTCCAACATATATCATTATCAATAATTTACCAACGGATAATCAATTCTTTAATGTTGCGAATATAATGACTGGAAATGAAATAGCAAATGGAGAAATTTCCTTGTGATAATAAATTGATTGATTTCATTCCATGATACCGCGGGAATAAAATTCTTCCATCTGAAGCATTATCTCATTTTATGATGAAACCTTCAGTTGTAATGAAATTTTGTAATCGGGATGGAACTCAGCTCAATGACGTACGTTACGCTACATTTTCTTACAGTTAACTATCTCTTTATTTGGTGCATGTAGCGTGATTGTGGTGGCGTACAGTTTGATTGTTTAAATCAATATTCAACGAGTAGGATGAAAAAAGGAAATAGTGTTGTTGGCGAAGAGACAGCAAAGATTGATAAGAATTGGAAGAAAAGCGGAGATAGCTTGGGGAGGGGATAGTGTTGTGGCGAAGAGACAACAAACATTGATAATAATTGAAAAAGACGCAAAGGCAGCTGGACAGGGAATATTGTTTTGCGCAATTTCTGATATTTTGAGCTATGATAATGGTAGTGGTAATGGTGGTGGTTGATGTTGTCATTCGAGAATGTCATCAGATCAACTGAGCCATGAATCAATCATTTGTAACATTCATATTTTTTCCATTTGAGAACCAGTTTCTTCTCTTGTTTTTTCATGTTATGTATTTTCCTTATTTTGTGACATTTTGCTGGAACTCACAGGTTGCTGAAAAATAGTTTTTAGAAGTTATGTAATATCTAAAATCGCTAATTTCTGTTGTTAAATTGAAAATGATTATTTATTACCATAATTTTAAATCTAGCTATTTGCCATCATTAACTTTTTCTTCATGGAACTTTTTCATTCATCTATCAGTAGTTTTGTTTCTCATTTCATAATTCTTCAGGATTAGTATGAAATTTAGCGTACTACTGCATTGAAATTTAGGAAATAAGCATAGTTTTGAGTCAAAAAGTGAAATTTCTAATATTTTATAGTTTATAAGAAACTTCTCGATTAAAATGTTCCGGTCATCAATGACATTAATGGATGTTCGATTATGCCAGAAATGTTGCAAGCGATCTCTTTCATCAAAACAGTTAATATATGAAAAATATGGGCATCCACCAGATGTAAGGATTCTTTTGCGTTATATTTCTTTGTTTTTCAATTATTTAAGTTTAAACTAATGAAATTATTTGTCCCTTCAAACACTGAATTTGATTATGTTATTATATTACTGAGAAATTTGTAGTACCATTACACACGTCATGTTTGATTCACAATGAATATGAGCTTAGCAGAGAGATTATTTCTGAAAAAAGTATTTGGTTATTTTAAATGAAATTCATGAAAGCAAAACTTATGTCATTATAGAAGAGAATTTTTACTTCCAAAAATGAAATCATGAGTTTGTTTTTGCAGGTATTGAACTTAGTAACGAAAGAAATAGGGAAAGTTGGTGCTGATGAGGTACGAGTACGTTGGATGGGTGCACCGATCAATCCAGCGGATATAAATCAACTGCAAGGAGTTTATCCACGAAAGCCACCATTACCTGCTGTTGGTGGAATGGAAGGTTTTGGTGAAGTTGAAGAGGTGATTTCATTATCCTTCTTCTTGGATTTTAAATTTGTAACAAGATGCATTTTTTCTGATTTTTGTTCACACTAGATTGGAAGTGGGGTGACGACTTTGCGTGTCGGCGATTGGGTTCTACCAGGTATTTCGAGTGCTGGTAGTTGGAGGACACTCGGAAATCACTACGAAAAGGATGTTTTTAAAATTGCTAAAGATTTGCCGTTTGATTCAGCGGCTACACTTCAGGTTGTTTTTTTTTTTCCCTTGTGATATTTGTGAGATATTTTGGATTTTAATTCAATTGATGTGTCGTATTTTTTCTTTTTCGGTTTATTATTAATGATTTTTATAGATTCTTCTTGTGGATGAGCATCTATGGTAGATATTAATACGTCTTCAGATGTTATACTTGAATTCAGTAGTTGTCGATTTAAAAAAAGGTTATAATTGATTTTTAGGTTAATCCGCCGACAGCCTACAGAATGCTGAAGGACTTTGTTAATTTAAAAGCCGGTGATTTGGTTGTACAAAATGGTGCAAATTCGAGTGTCGGTCGTTGTGTTATAGAGGTGAAATTCTTATTCTAACAGTTTGGTTTATGTATCGAAGACGGTATCTTATGATTTATATTTGCAAGAAAAAATATTTGCTGATAAACCTTGTGTTCTTTTTATGCTTTTATGAGTCCTTTTTATTTGTATTGAATCTAGTTGTGCAAATTATGGAATATCCGAACTGTAAATATTGTACGTAATCGTGAAAATCTTGATGTACTTGTCCGAGAATTGAAAGAAATTGGTGCCGATGAAGTGTTCACGGAAGAGGAAATGAAAAAAGAATCGATGAATAAAGTGAGTATTATTTCATCCTATTTTAGTCACTGGAATTCCTACAAGAATTTAGAATCATATTTACAATAAAATGTTTTAAGTTATAAAAGTGTAAAAGGTTTTTTTGTAGAATAAATATTTCTCTGTTATATTTAGCTAGAATTAAAAAATTATTTCTCTAAAAGCTAATTCCACTTCCAACTCAGTGAGGTTTAATTGCATCCAGCATTTTAATTAGCTTATATGCCGCTTGTGATGAATACGGATTTGAGATACTGCCAAACTTAATATTAGTTTTTAAAAAATTTTTTGGTATAATTACAAATTATCAAATTTTTTCTAATTATCAGCAGCTAAGCTTTAAATCCTTTTTAGATTTACTAAAGTACTCAGTGCTATGACAGATTCCTCGTACTTTCTTGCTCCTATAACTCAGCTGCACTTTCATGAACTAGATATAGGACTTCGCAGGTCTTATTTTGTTCATCCACACTTCTAGTTCCTAAACAATCCGCCTTATCGAAATTTTGTTAGGAAGTTTTATGGCTTCTAAATTTGATTTAGTTATAATTTAATTTAATCTATATTTGTTATATTTTCATATTTGTTAGCTTTCAGGCTAAAAACGCTCAGTTGGCGCTGAATTGTGTCGGTGGTCGTAGTGCGATGTTGTTATCAACTTGCCTTTCCAATAAGGGAGTAATGATTACTTATGGTGGAATGAGCAAGAAACCAGTTGAGGCATGAGATTTTCTACAGTTTCCATTAATTTAATTAATGATTAAAATAAAATTGTTGATAATTTCTTGTTTCTTCTGCGAAAAATTAATATTGATTTTAGGTCCCAACTGGATCATTAATATTTAAAGATATCAAATTGGTGGGTTTTTGGATTTCTCAGTGGTACACAACTCAAGGCAACAAAAAGGTTCGTTTTTTTTTTTCATATCCTAATTTCCATATTTATTTTTTCCTTTACATATTTTCAATTCTACGAATCTTTTTTCCTTATATCATTGCCTAGACTTATACTGTCGGAATTATCATTAGTTTAAAAATGCTAATTCATTTCTCACTATGCATTACTTCATCTGCAAATTCCGTAATAGGACTTTGACTTTTTATAACCTCTATTTGATACAAATGCATTTGGTAAGAGAATATCACTTTTTGTTTTTTAAAACTTAATTGAAATGTTTTTTTTTTTTTTTTTTAACTTTTATTTTGCTGATCAGATGCATAATGTTGGAGCTTATTAGAAAATGCATTTGGAATTCATTCAGAAAGTTAACTTTGTTCGAATGAAATTTGAATGGAACTGTGGATTTGATTTTCATTTATTCATCAACTAAATAAAAATTGAAATGCATGTATTACTGATTAGAACCTCGAATTACTGATAGACATTACTAATATTATAACTCCTTTTGTTGTTCACTTGTAAGGATATCCTTCAAGATTCAAGGGGTAAACTTATGGTCTTAGTGTTTTAGCAAAAAATTTGCAATGATATTCTGCAAAGCTATATGCATTTCTATCATAAATTACATAAAATTTAGAAATTTCTATTTTCTCAATATTACTGGTAATTTTCTGTAATTCTGAGATTAAATCTTACATTGAATCAAGCTTGCTGAGTGATTATTTTCTAATTTGTGTTTCACTGATTTTCAGGATCGTGAAGCAATGTTTGAAGAACTACAGGATTTAATAAAGCATGGAAAACTCCATCCACCGAAAATCAATAAATTAAAGCTTGAAGAGTGGAAAACAGCGATCACTAATGCGATGAATTCATCGGGAACAAAACAGCTTCTTATTATGCAATAGGTTGTTACCTCACCAATCTTTCGTTGTTTACGCTACAAGTTCTTTTTCCTCTTAATTTTTTTTTTTTGACTCTGTTCATGCCTTACATTTTTTTGAATTCAAATATTTTTATATATCATTTAATAGTATGTGCATCGATAGATTCGTCTCTGATATTTCTATCACTGTCCTCTTTTGCAATTATCATATCAGCTTACATGAGGTGAATGTTAGATCACATCGATCGAAATTACAACATTCTCACTTTAGAATCTATCATTCTTAAATACATATCAGGAAATAAACATTGATGATGAATAATAAAAGGAGGAAAAGATGGGAACAAATATGTTCAGAATAAGTTTAGTCCAGTATTTGGCAGTAAGTCTTAAATTGACTGGTTGTGATTTGCTGATAAATAGAAACTTAGAATAGCTTGAAATAGCTGAGAAAAATATACTATAAATCTTTTGAAAATTTTCGTTGATTTGTTCAGGAAATCGTTATGAATGAAATTTAAAGAATTCTGAAATATTTCTGGATTTTATTTGTTCGAGAAATTGAAAATTAGTTTTAAAACAGAAAAAAAAAAAAAAAAAAACACAAATATGTACAGCGTCCGTAATTTTTATAATTCCATTCTTATACCAGACAACAAAGTTATGCTTTGAATGATTTTATAAATAAAAATTTCATAGCACTTTAATTGTACCACACACTGCACGATTTTGCTTCGTTAATACGGAAATTTCAGGATAGCTGCGAAGTGTTTATTTACATCTACTTGTTTAGTTGGGATTTCAAAATATGTTTTGAAATTTTTGTAAAATTTCGAAAGTTTCTTATCTGATAAGGGCATTTCCAATGTTGGAAAGACACTTATAGTTAAAATAATTGAATTATTTTTGATTTTATGACAACGATAAGCTTGAAGGAAAATATTATTCAAAAAAAAAAAGGACTACTAAGCAGCAACGGAACTTTGATAAATACTAACTTGATCATAAATTAGAAGCTGTTATTTAAGGCTTCATTGGCATTCTTTCCTCCGAATATTTCTAAAAGATTTTTAATAGCATTATCACCTCTATCAATCCAACTTTACAGGAAAGTCACTGTGAAACGAAAGAATTCTTCGTTTGTTGTAATTTAGACAAGAGATGAAGTGGAACTTAACCATTGCTGCTAATGATAAATGAAGAATACATTTGGTATGAAATGGTGAAAGCACATGAAGCAGGTAATGGAATGCATTGGTTTCTTATTGCAAGGGAAAGAAAAGAAAAAAAAAAAACAAATTAATCTTTGGCCTAAAATATGTAAAATTAAAGACAGAAAATATATCACAGATTTCTTTGCACGGATAAATTTTGGCGTTGAATTAATACTCTAATAAGATCCTGAAATATAGTAAATAATGAATTCAATCCTATTACAAATGAATGATAATATTTTACTAGAACTTGTTATCCATTTCAGTTGAAGAGAAACATTTGCTAACACTTTTAAACTTGCGCTTGCTTACAATATATATGAAGTTTGAATTTTTGCTTAAATTCAAATATAATCGTTAGAAATCACTAAATTAAATACTTCATTTTGACGACTAATAATTTGTCGATTAAAAAAGATCTAAATCTTTTCGAAATATATTCAAAACAATAATTGGCATATTTCAGTTGGTGTTGCTCGACTAATATTAATTCTTCTATCTACATGGAAATATATATGCATGTATGTATACAGTTATTATAGACCTGGTCAGGTAGATTGATATTTTGAAGAAATTACCTGGATAGTAGGTGCAGCAATAATAAAACTATCATTTTCAGCACAATGCAAGCTAAGAGATCGTAATGCTGGCATGCGTAATAATAACTTAGCAAAGCGTTGAGTTTGTGTTGGATGATGTTGTCGACAGTAATCCTCCAAACATACCATCACTTTGTCGCGTAATGATTCTATCACTGAGACATTTTGCAATCCACTAACACCTATTTAAAAAAGATTCAAATTTTGCTAACTTCATATAACACAAATTTTTTTTTTAACATTCATTATTTAGTAGTGTTTTGTTAATTTATGTCCGTTAAAATTCAAAAAAAAAAAAATTGAACTGTTTGATTACTTTTGTAATATTTTACTCTTGTTTTTCGCAATAACTTACTTGGATTATAAAGAATAGCGCAGCGTAATGCGGCAATTTCCATTCGATCCACATTTAAATCTTTCATGCGAATTGTAAGCTCATTGATGATTCGATCGAAAATGATCCGGCAGCCAAGAATCTCCGCATCATTTCGTTCCATTACACGTTCCGGCCACAGTAATAATTTATTTATTGTAGAACGATAAGCTATATCGGCAAGAATTAATTCATGCCATCCTGAAAAAATCATTAAATCAATGGCTAAATTTTAAAGTGTTAAAAATTTTGTTAGTAACATTAAGATCATTCTGGTAATTGCTGAACAGCATTGACCACATACATCAATGGTAGTAACTCTATTTGTCACACTTCCATTTCATTATTAATTGTGCAAAGCAGGAAATTTGATTCAAAAAATTGATTCATTTCATATAACAAAACAGAGGCATATATTAACATATATCCAGCAGGTGGTCATTTTCAAGAGATTAATATCTATTCATATCCTGCACAAAATGATAAGATTGTTTATATTAGCATTATGTTGTCAGATTTCACACTGTTTCTAAAATTTACTGTGAATGAGAAGAAGGATCAAAAAAAGCTTTTTATATGCAATCACTCATTGACATATCGAAATATACGTATCAGAGTATTGCTAATCTATTGAAATATATCATATGTGTCACTAACCTATCAATATTTATGTGTCACGATGTATGCCTTCTGAAAATTCGACAATAACTTATTTGAAAAAAAACAAACCAAATCTTATTAATCGAGCTTGATCTTCTACTAAAATTTCATTAAATGATGGTAGCATTAGAGCCCATTCAACCATTCGTATCATTTGCCATTCCAATGATTCACAACTATTAACATCACTTGATTCGATCTATAATTATAATACCTTTTGATAGATTGTTAATGATATCAGAAAATATTATCGCTGTTAAAAAGTTCTAGTTATACAGTAAATTAAAAATATAATTTAGTTAAATTAGATAACTAAAACTTTTTTCACACTTGTGATTTTCTTAAATCGTCTGAAAAGAAGAAAGGAAGAAGAAAAAAAAAAGGTTAAAAATCAAGATTTCAGTTTATTTTCTGTAATATGCCATCTCTTTGAAATAAGAATTTAAAAGATCCATTATTGTAAAACATTAATTGGTTGTCTATTTGTTGACCAAAACTAAATGCAAATGAAGACAGGCTATTATTACTATTATTGTGTCGCTCCAAAATGATGCTAAAATTTTGTCATATATAATGATGACTTAAGGCAAGGCAAGGTCAAATTCATTACTGTTTTCATTCAATTTTTTTTTTTTAAGAGACTACAATTATACTGATTTAATTTGTAACGAATTTTCTAAAAAATAGTCCTACTGTCTCAGAAACTGTATACTAACAAATGATGAAACAAACAACTGCGCTTTGACAGTTTTAATAAAGCACACAATTAATTTGCATCGTTAATTTATTTGAAAAAAGTTAAATTAGATAGTCGAATGCAAAAAAAAAAAAAAATTTTTTTTGTATTCAAATAACTTTTAATTAAATTTAGATTAGTTGAAAGAAATAGAAAGAAAAAGAAGGCAGGATCAAAAATCAAGAGTTCAGTCAACTTGCGCAATTGTTTAAGGCATTTATTTAAAAAGAAAGTATTGAAAAGGATTGAGCGCTACCAGACAATGATGGATCATCCGTATCTATTTTATCAGTAAAATATATAAATGATGAATTATTAGTGCTACAGTACTATTTATTTTGAGATTTGAATTTCAAAGAATTATTAAGTACTTAACTGAAATTAAATAACTAATTAAAAGTAAGATGAGAACATAATAAAAAATTATTAGATGAAACTTGTTTTTTCACTCAAATATTACTTGAATTTAAAAAAAAGAAATGGAAGAAGTAATGAAAATACCTTAATGTTACTGAAAAGTACTTCTGAAGCTTCTTCAGCTGCAGCAATCCTTTCAAGTTGAATCTCAAGACCGCCATAAGTACTCGTACTTTCCGCTTCCATTTGACTTGTGGTAATATGCCGTTGTCCACCACTGGTTAGTACTTTTGTTAGATCTGTTCTTGAACTTTGTCTTTCCTCTTGAACAGCTATAAACAAACATTTATTTGTTTATTTATTTATTTATTTATTCCACCCTTTGTATTCTAATCAATTTAAAATATGCATATAGCTGTTTCAGTAAATGAATCTAATAACTGATACATTGCTTCCATTTAAATTTACATTAATTAAGGACGCATTGTTTTTATTTGTTTTTATTCATTAAAATAAATTAATTCATTAACTATATTAAAATTTAATAAAATTTAAAAGTGTTACACAAAAAAAGAGAAAAGATGGCTAAAATTAATAACACTAACATTAAATAGTTGTAAATTATTATTTAATTCTATTTAGAAATAAAGAATTTAAAAATTAAATCTTCAATCTAAGTGCTAATAGTTAGGAATAGTAAAATGAACTTAAAGCTGTATTTTCTTATTTTTAAATTGGTCAACTTGCTCATTTCACTAAACCATATGATGGGAACGATGAATGAGTGAAACGATTAAATTGAATTAAATATTATCAATAAATATATATGCTAAATCTCAAATATTAAAATAATTTAATTTCACTATATCACTGATAATAAGTTAGACATTAAGTTAAGATGGATATTATAAATAATCTTTTCCACCTTGTAATATTTAATTCATCCTTCAAATTTTTCTTTTTTTAGAGTGAGGAAAATGAAATTTAAAATGGCCAATTGAAACAATGGAGATATATTTCTTTTCCTTTTAACCATAAACAATTATTGGATTTTAATCCAAAATGAAATGAAAAGATTGAATGACGAAGTATGCTATAGAAAATGACCTTCTCTTTTCATTCCCATACTTTGACATTTGCGGTAACGACAATATTGACATCGGTTCCTTTGTCGTTTATCGATGATACAGTTACGATTTTCTCGGCACAAATAGATAAGATCCTTACGTACTGTCCTCTTGAAAAATCCTTTACAACCTTCACAACTGCAATTTACAAAAGGATTTTGAAATTTGAACAAATTATAAAAGAAATGATAATTGTAAAAGAAGAAAAGAAATTTTTGTAAAAAAAAAGAAACTTTGTGCAAATATTGGTGAAAAATTTAATTTTACTTGTTAAATTTAATATACATCACTATCATGTCATTCCATTTTTAATGTCATAATACATTAATCAAATTGATATGTCATTGAAATAAATCAAATTTAGTTTCGAAATTGCAAAGGCCATTTTTGCAAATTTTTAAAAACTAAAGTAAAATTTTGATTTCAATTAATTACAGTGACTTTTAATAAAAAGTGATACTGTTGTAATTTAAAACAAAATGAGAAAAGTATTTTAATTTTTAAACTTAGAAGATCCTTTTTATAAAAATTTTAGATTGAGTAGATAGGTGCATCCACCTGTACACCCCATAGTGTTTCCCGGATGCTCGATCACCGCATATTGCGCAAATGTGCTTTGTGGTGATTCCTAGATTGATTGATGTCGATGATTTTTGTATGGCATACAGTGTCATATTTGGTGTTGTGCTAGAAAATATTTGAAATAAAATTTTATGTGAAATTGCTTCATTACAATTTCTATTTTAATCACAGAAAAACATACTAATGCCTTTCATCTTATAATAATTAATCGAAAACTCTTAGAGTAAATTAATTTTCAAATATTCAGAAAAATTCAAACTGTGTGGTAAAATAGAGATATTAGAAAAATTCAGAAAAAAAAAATTATAACTAAATTCAACTATTTGGATAGTTAAAATTAATTAGAACAAAAAATATTGCCAAAATATTAACGAAAAGATTTGTAAAAAAACAAAAATCATTTATAAAATATCTTTACCTGCTAACTTCATCATTTGAAACTGTAAACTCCTGTGAGCGATCGGTAGTTGGTCGCAAAAGTTGTGCAGTTGTTGGTAGCATTTGCTGTTCTGAACTAATTTGAACTTATGAATAAAATCTTAAAAATTTTCAACAAACAAGAAAAGCAATGATAAATTGATGTGGAATGAATAGTAAATCCTTTATTTAACACATAATTTTGCTATCTTTTTTAAAATGAGAAGTTGAAATTATTTATTTCATGCAGAAGGTCGTCACAAAGAGTGTGTTATTGACAGATGATAATGTAAAATGATAATAATGTTGCATCATAGTCACAAAGACTTGCGACAACATTTATTACTGCATACGATCGTTAATCATGTTTTATAAATATAAGCTATTAAAATTTCAAAGAGAAAAAAGTTGGATTAAATGAATAACAGTTAATGGACAACGGTCAGTATTTTAATTGTCAATAATTTCAATAAATGCAGTAATCTTTAATAAAATAGCAAACAAAAAAGATAAAAGATTAGTAAAAAGATCGCATAAAATGTCAACGAAAAAGATGAAAGAAAAAGTATTAATTGATATCTATTCATTACCTTTTCAAATTTTTACATCAAAGAAATAAGTTAAAAAGTTGAAAGTGGGTAAAAAAATCTAAAACAATTTGAAGTGAATCAAATTAGCAGCTTTGGTTTCAAATGAAAATTTCCATTCTTCATGCTACTTCATTTAAAATTAAAAATTTTTTGCTTTCAAAAATGTTATGACACCGATCAATAAAGAACCAAAAAATAAACAAAATAATACTACTACCATCATTTAAATTTTATCATGCGGGAAATATTTGACTAATTTTTACTAATATTTTATTAATTTGTATTCCCTTTTTTCTCTCATAATTAAAAAATTTATTTTTCCAAAAAATAAAAAATTTTTGAAAATTAGCAAAATAAACATTAAATTGTAGATGATTGATAAGATTGAGTTTTTTTTGCTTTTCACAAAAGGAAGGAAGTCATACGTCACGCTATTGAATTTTCAACATTCTATCGTTCCTCTTGCGTACATCAGAAAATTGTTAGAGGTCAATGATTCAAATTAAATATTTGAGAAGAATTCAATTTAAATTAAAAATCCAGTTTCGAAATTTAATAAAGAATTACTTTTTAATTGCAAAAAAAAAAGTTGCATTTAGTTTTAGAGTATTTTTGTAATTTATATAGACTTTCAAGTTATATTTTGATAAGATATCATTTTGTCAAAAGATTCCTCTTCCAATGAGAATACAACAATTGCGCTTTACTAAAAAGTACAATTGAAAATGTTTTGGGATAAGATTGAATGAATATTCTTTAGCGTAATGTATTATTTAGAAATCTTAGTGAAGGAAATTCTTGCTGTTTTTTTAAAAAAAAAATGCTTCATGCATTTACTTATTTTTTAAACTTATTGAAAAATTATTTTAATTTTGATCAATGGTTTAAGGAAGTCAGTTATTATTGAATTAAAAAAAGAAATCATGTGGAAATTTTTTGATTATTACTGATAATGTAATGAGTGATTTGAGTAAATTCAAAATAATTTGTATAATCGGTTTATATTCAAAACAATTTGTATATGATATGTCTTTGTGATATCATTAGGAAATGTGATCCAATAATTAATTCACTTTGTGATTAATCGGTGATTTAAAAGGAAAGAAAGCTTGCTGTGTTAATTTTGTGAAAATTTTGCTTCTGTTTTTATTTCAAATCAAATTTATCTCATATAATGGAAAAATGATTGGTGTTTTTAAATAATTAATGATTTTTTTCAAAGCTTTTCGATTCAATTAGAAAATAGATGATAAAAAAAAGTAAACAATAATAGAAGTGCATAATTTGGACATTAGTACTGTTTGATTATTAGTTATGCAAGTAATTATTTTGTGTTAAAATTGGAATTTCAGATGTTGATATTGTGAAATATTTAAATATTTACTATGAATAATTCATCCATAATAAAACTATTTATTGATCATAGCAATTCTAGCAAATATAATAAAAATTTGTGATATGAAAAACAAAAAACGATTCAGATGCAAACCTTGCTGAAACCATGTGGTACTGGTCGGATTTGAAAAATGGAAGTAATTGTTTAACACCTGATTGAATTGTTCCTCTGGTTGTTCCAAATTATCAATGCCATCAATACGACTTGTCGTTTCACGTTTTCGCTTATTTCGACTTCCATTTGGAGTTAAATCGATTGTTGTTGGTGTTGTTATTAATAGATTGGAATCAAACCAATCTGATGGGCATAGATCCATTTGCCCAACAAAAATAGATAAATTTACCCCCTATTAAATTGGTATTACCCTAGAAAAAAGAAAAATACAAAAAAAAAAGTGAATTTACTTCTGCGATATTTTTTCATTTGCTCAAATAATTTTCAAACAAATATTATAAACGATTTATTACAATCATATTAAGGATGATAAATGAAAAAAAAAAAAAAAGGTTAAATGACTTTTGATGAATAAACGTATACAATAAACGTATGCAACTTAACTTTTTCACGTCAATAAAACGTTAAAAAATGAGAAAAAAGATAGAAGAAAGAGATTAATATTGAGAAATGAAATATAATATTAATGTAGCACAAAAAAAAAAGGAAAAAAATATCATAACTGTTGCAAGATTATTTTTTTTCCTACCCATTTCTCCCTAATTTTCAACTCTAACTAAATTTTGAGATTGACTAAAAATAACATCAAATTTACAAAACTAAATTAATTATAAATTTAGCAATAAATATTAACATATCGGGTAAATAAGCATGATTTAAATTAGATGATATTTCTTAACTTAATCTCTTCTCATTAGATGAAAGCTTTTAATTTATAAATATTAAAATCCCAGTGATATATGATTATCCGATGCATTGATATCTATTTATTTAATATTATTACTTGTACTGATGTCTTTTCAGTGATAAGCTTGGAATAATTTAACAAAATTCTCAAAAAAGAGAGGAAGGTAAACAAATTAGAGCAGAAGAAGAATTAGCTGAGAAATTTTTTTCTCTTTTTTTTTGCATACCGAATTTTAATTATGTTTATCTGGTAGGATTAATAAACATTGGGACAATAACGGTAAAACAATAATGAGACAATAAAGCTTATTAAATGTAGCAATTATTTACTGTCTATTATTTGGCATAAATTAATGATTAATAATTAATAAAAATTGATATAAATGGGAAGAATGTAAAGTAATCGTGTATCATGTAGACGTTGTTTAAAGGCAAAGCCGAAAAGACGGAATGTGTTGGAGGAGGAAGAGTGAAGGAAAAGAGAGAAATGAAATGCGCTAAGGTCAAGCGGAATGGGAGACCTACCAGGTGACAACGACTGGTACGAAACAGCCAAAATGACGGGGACAGTCTGCACCAACACTACTTCAAATGAACCACTCTAATAATAAATGTTAATGTATGTGTATGTGTGTGTGTGTACGTGCACATATATATAATACATATATATATGGTGGTGCACTCTAGCTCAACTCTTTCTCGACAATACCTTACTATTATCAATACTGTCATCAATTTATATCAATAAACTAAGGTCACCAATGTCCTTGTGTCATTATTATTGTCATTGTTTACAAAGTCTAAACATTTGTTTACGTAAACAACATTCGGAAGCATACATATGTTAAAATTCATATATATGTACATAAACATATAAAAGGAAAAAAAAAGAAGCAAAAAGATGCGGAAAACAAGGTCATCATGATCATTATTACTACTGCATCATCATTAGTTACGCCGAATAAAATTGATTATTCCGTGATTTTTTTTTTTTTTTTTTATTTAAAGGATAAATCAATTTAAAAGTTTCATTTATTTGAAGTAATCATTTTAAAATTTCATTTATTTTACTTAATTTCATTAATCTTATTTGAATTAATGAATGGCATAAATGAGAGATCATTTGAACAAATGATTATGTGATTTCTTTAGAAATAATATATACAACATGAAATAAAGATAGTTCTAATAAAATTCATTGAATAAACTGTCATTTTAGACCTAGATTAAATATTTGTTAATTGATAGAATTAGAAGGACTCTACCTACATTTGCAATTGAAAAAAAATTCATTTAAAATGAGACAAATTCATCTAATCATAATAATAAGTAAGCATAGATACTAAATTCTCATACACGTACATACACATACACATAATACATACACACACACACACAGATGCACATATGCATACATGCACCACCAACATTCAGTAAACTGATCAGTTTATCAAGAGAGCTTTTTTTTTTTTTAATAGACTTGCAAATTTAAAAGTTTTGATTTTTTCTTTTCCTACAGATGTCTATGAATGTCATCACCATACATACCATAGCACAGTCATAGAAAATTTCTTAGAAAAATACAAATCCACCATCTTCTGTCGTAATCATTTAATCAAGATTAAACAATTTGTCACTTGTAATAACTTTTTGGTTTAATCTAATCAGTTGCAGTATATTGTACACTTCCCTGATATGAGACAGATGATAAGGAAATGCAACAGGATGAAAGAGATGACCTAATTTGTCCTTCCCAAAAATGGATCGTGGCAATGAAATCTGTTTATTCTGCTTGAATACATCGTCCGCTCCATACGATTTATCATTTTTCCCAGAAACAAAAAAAGACAAAAAAAATCAGCATTTAGAATCGAAGACATACATGTTCCAAAGAGCAAGATATGATATTTCGGATGATACAAAAATTATTGAATTCATTAAATTCACAGAAACCTATAATATATATTTCCGTGTCAAGTATTTATTTGAAGAAATAAATAAGTGGAAGGATCTTTTCAATAATTCCGGAATCAGTTATTTCAGTTTTGTCTGTAAAAAGTGTAGTTATTGCTGAGTAAATAGCATTCTTGCAAGCAATAATCATTTTCTAAAGTAATTCATCATTTTTATCATTGCTAGGTTGCTAGGTGTAATAGCAAAGCATTTAGTACCGACAAACAACTTCCGCTAGATTTGAGTCTTACCTGTCCTTATTACTTACAAAAGGAGCTACATTAAGAGAACAATAGAACAAATCAATTATGATTTAGCTATTGTTCGGACTAATCCATCCTTTTCATCAAAAAATGATATGAAAGAGCAAAAGAAATAAGTTTCGATTGATGAAAAACAACAATATTTCAAATGTTTTCAAAATTGTTCTACTTAGTAGCTACTCATTGAAAACTTAACTTTTTACCACACCTATTTCATTATTAATGTAAAGCATCATGAACAGCCTTAATTAAACTAATATATTATTAGGTCAAAAATCATTCACGAAAAAATAAAAGTGAAATTAAAAATATTGAATTTTCAAGATTCATATATTACATAATAATAGTAGTGATCTTAAGACGATGAAAAACTGTTAAAATTAGATAGATTTTCGTAAAACAATCTAGAGTTATTAGATAACATATATTATTAATAATTGAAATAAACGAAACTGCAGGATTAAAATAACTGTTATGGTGATTAAAAAACAAATTATTTTAACAGATAAGTTTAAATAACTATAAATCTGCAGTAAGAAAAAGAATGGAAACAATATTCATCACAAATAAAATTTCGATATTTTTCAAATTTAAAGTTCGAACAAGATCAAAACAATAACTTTCACTGAACATATATTCAAACTTTTTGGAATGTCATCTTATCTTTTTAATATACGACGACGCATTCATTAAGCAAAAGGATCATCCTCACCATACGATACTTGCATCCTTATTTCCGTTTTATGTTGTACCACAGTTGTTTCTTTTTTTGTTATTACTGCTGCCACCTCTTCGGAGCTCTTTTTTGCTGAAAAAAAAAAAAAAAAAAAAGAAAAAATTATTTACTGATTTGTCGATGTAACTTAATCTGCCAAAATATCTCCATCAGTCAGTAAAATATCTCTATCAATCAGTCCTATGTCATAAAAAAAAAAATACTGAGATTGAACAGACTGCAAGTTATAACAAGAGACACATAAGTCACATACATTATCAATCATTCTTGTCAGACATTAGGAAGATGATTCAATCTACTCCTTAACTTTATTATCAATATGCTAATGGAAAGCTCGCCATTCATTTGAAACATAAAGCATTATTTGAAGAAATACTTCGTAAATAAAACTAGATAATGAATTAAAAGTTCACAATTTAATAAAGATGTAAGCTATAAAATTGATGGTCAATATTTATCATTTTTCTTTCTGATTTAGATGGCAGGACAAAGTAGTACAAAGGGCCTTTGACCTTGTATAGAAGACCTTGCACAAGGAAAATATCCTGCCGAGCGGAATGTTTCCTGTATGATGAAATGACACCATCTGAACTTTGTCTCAAACTCAAACAATCGTCTGACCAATAGTTTTGATGAATGAACTGACCACTTGTAATGATATCACGACTTTACAAAGAAAAAAAAAATATTCAAATGGGTCATTTGCTTGGTTGTTGTAAGTAGAAATGAATGGACATTGTGCGGTGACATCGTAGATGCAAACAAAGTGGAACCAGTGACCAAAATAATAAAAGTATTTAAAAAAAGAAGAGATTCATTAGCCTTTTGATAATGGATGATTTAATCTGAATGTTAAGTATTGTTCATAATTCAACAACATTTCATTTTGTAACATATATTTTGAGATGAAAGTGTGAATTTTTGCATTCACAACCAAAAATAAGCTAACACATATGGTAAAAGTCTCTGTGTTACTTGAAGACAAAATCTCCAGAGTTTAAAAGAATGAAAACTCAAACTTCCAAATAACAACGATCAGAATCAAATAATGTATCAATTACTGATAAAAAAATTTACTAGCTTCACTCCATGCTACTTGAACTTTAGACATCGGTGGAGGAAGTGGCAGAAAACTGGGTGTCTTACCGTCAGATGATACAGGCCATGAGTCCGTTAGTGGTTTATTATCAGCATTAGGCCATTCACTAGGCCAACAAGATGATTTTCCTTCTTCATCATCAGGCCGCGCATTCTTTTTGTCAAAACCGCGACGTTGACGTCGAAATCCTGCGTTTCCATCTGCACCTCTTCCTCCATTTCTATAATCTCCTTGTGTACCTCTTCGAAATGGTTCATCTTCACCTAATCTTTCTACAGGAATATGCGAAGATTCGTCATTTCTGTCGCTAGATTGATGATAAGATGAAGGCCAGAAATCATCCTTAACATTATCCTTTTCTTGTGATTCACTTTCTTTATTATCATTAGCATTTTTACTATGTGCACTCGAATGATGATCACCGGATGTCCACAAATCATTCTTGTCTCCACTTTCATTTTTTGTTAGCCATGAGTTCTTTTGGCTAACATCTGAGTTAGCATTTGAACAATACTTGCCACCTCTTAACTCATTGTTCTGCCGTTTCGAGTGCCATAATGGATCCCCACGAATTTGGCTACCTCGTCGAGGCATTCTACCACCTCGTTCATCACATCGGAAACTACGACATCTATCGTTGTCGAAACCACCTCGTCTTTCACAACTCCTGTGCTCATAACCACCATGTCTTTTTACAACAGTCTCTTGATAATTACCATCAGATGTTTCTCGAGACTTTGTACTAGTACTATCACCTCTTCCATCATCACTAAATGGTTTATACCTGTCAAAATAATCATCTTTCACATTAACAAAATCATCCTTTTCGTTAACAGCTATTGTTGATTTATACGTATTAAAATTATCCTCTTGATTATTATTATCCTTTTCAACGTTTGATCCCTCATTCGTCCTTCCGCGTGATTGAGTTCCCGATGGCCAGAAATCATCTTTTGCATAAGATGCTTCCGCTGCTGACCCCTCATCACTTGACACTTTGTTCGGACCAGACAAGAAATCATCATTATTTTCAGTGGAACTTGCTGGTAATAACGAACTTTCGCCTTCATACGTATGTCCCCGACTACGACTTCGTCTGCTTTTCTCACCACGGTAACGAACACGTTCGTTACCTCGAAAGAAATTTCCTTGGCTCCGAGAACGATTGGAACGATCACTTCCACCTCTGTCATTATTATCGTTATTCCTGTCGAATGATTTACTACTCCGAAAGCGTCCAGAATCACTACATTGATTTTGACGGCGTGCAAATGAAACACGCAATGTTATTCCATTAACCATATTTCCATCCATCTGAAAAAAAAAAAACTTTCCGGATTTGGGTTGTATGTTATGATCAGCTGTTTTTTATTTTTATCGAACTACTTTAATTGGTATTGCGTTTATAAATGGATTTGAGTATATTTTTATAATGAATTTGACTTGATTTTTTGGAAAAAATGCTACTTTTCATATTTCAAGTATGAAAATACTGCTTTTCAGCCATTCTTATCCAAGTATCTTAGTTATTGTATCCCACGTTAAAATTACCGAATATATACTTACTTCTTTTATTGCAGTTTCCGCTTCCGCCGTTGTGGCATATGTAATAAATGCACTCCTGAAGATTTATGAATTTTGAAGACGAAAGAAAAGATTGTTTCACACTGTCTGCATAAATATTCAAAACAATAAACTGCCCCTCTTATTTTATTAAAAGATAATAAGTTACAGACGTACTTCTGACGTTCCTCCACAAAAACTCTATTAATCACACCGTATTTACTGAACACATTCCGTAAAGAATCTGCTATCAAGTCGTATCCACGAATGTATAAACAAGGACCCTAAAACTGAGGAAATAGTACAACTGTCTTTCTTTTTTTGAATTTCAAAACTCTTTTTTCTTTTTTTGGAAGTAACAAAACAAGTGGAAATCATCTAAGGTTGAAACATCAAAATTCGATTTTCCCTATTTCCAAAATTTTAAGTAGAAGCAACTTGAGCGAATTTTATAAAAACTCAAAAGTATTTACCCTGCACGGCTTGGGTTGCTCAAAACCAATAAAAGACGATGATCCACTGTTTGCGTCAAAGGAAAACGATTGCGTTGAATATGGTTTATAATTGTCAAAGCCATCATCGTTAGATGCAGGTTTGTAGATATCAAAAGACGAAGATTGTGAATTGGTATCGGAAACACCGTTGTCATGAACTCCTGCTGATTTGCAGTTGTAAGATGCGTTTGCTTCTTCTCCGGTCTTGTAAGTATCAAACTCATCTGATTCTGAAGAAATCGTCTGTGCAGCGGAATTCGGGCTTGGTTTACGTACATCAGAAGTGTCTGATGTAGCACTCTGGCAATTATCAGAATCATAAGGCGATTTATTAATGTCGGAAGATTCTCCGGTCTTTTTTGTCGTTCCAGAATCATCCGAGGGAAGTGATTTATATGTATCATCATCAGCATTCGGTGGTAACAACTCCGTGTTACTGATATTTACCTGTAAGAGAAATATATAACGATTAGAAATTAATGATTAAAAAAGAGAACATTGTTAGTGTAGAGATTTCGTTTTAATTTTAGAATGACAATCAAATCATAATTTGCATAATTTCAGAAAAAAAAAAAAAAAAAACTTCAAAACTAAAATGAAACGGAAAATTTTAAATATATTTGAAGTCTAGACTTAAGGATACAATAGTCCTCCCTTTTCTTAGTCCTCATGTATACATCTACAAATTCATAGAAAAGTGTGCAGTGCCTTCATATTTTTATAATAATTAAAAATAAGCCGAGTTATAGCTAAAGTGCAAAACTATTTCTTACACTGAAACACTGAGACATTATAACTGAAATTCCCAACATACTGTATATTTCCAGCAAAAGTCAGTAAGTTTTGGAATGAATAAAGATTCTTTGAAATCTTGCAAACTTGATAAACATCCAAGTAAAACAAAATCATGCAATAAAAGCAAAAGATATGCAATGTCCTAATACAACCCACCATATCACTGTCGGATTTTGTTTTGCCACTATCCTATCACAAATCCGACCGTACCATCAATATAAAAAAACTTTTGAATCAAAATCTCAAAAATATTGATCATATGTATGATCATTATGAAAAAAAAAATTTGACATCCGATTAAAGGGAAATAGAAAAATAATTGCAGATTTTTTCTCTATTTTGTGACCACTGTAGACGACAACAGTTAAACTGAATTCAGTAATAAAGGATAAAGAAAGAATATGCACCAAATCCAGAACAAGTAACATTCCAATAATTTCAAACTAATCATCACCAAAATCTTACTCGACGTCTGCCAATTAAACTTGGTCGTTTGAATGAATCTTTCTTTTCATCAGCTTTCTTAAAACTGACAGCACCAATTAAAACCTTCCGTTTCACTTCTTCGGTAGCCTCCTGCGCCTGCTGTAGATCTAAAACAAAGAAAAATGTAATAATTTCAATACAAAATACAGCTTCTAAATTATAACGCATGACTTCAGTTCCTGAGCAGCCTTTAGTTACATTACTGATTAGCATGGAAAAAATATCAAAACTACTAATCAAAATGAAATTTTTTTTACAGAATTCGAGATAAAAGAATTTCACACGTCTTTTGGTTGTTTTTCGCTCGGTCTTGAGGTTGTCACCAACTGTTCCGCTAACATTTACTTTGTTTGTTGCAGCTATCGCTTTTCGCTGCAAATTTTTACTTCACTAACTGAAGTATTTTTTCACTGACAATAATACTAAGTTAAGCAGCAATATATAAATGTATTTTCATATATCAATATCCTGACAAAATATTCCAACTCTTTCAAGAACCACTAAACTCATAATTATTTCTGAGCATCAACTACAGAATTTGAAAAAGGTTACATTAATTCCATCAATAAATTCTGCAAGTTTATTTGGCACTCTACCCATCAACATCTCTTGCTCTTTCTTATATCAAACTAGGTGAGTGGAAACCTACAATAGCCCGCAATTTCTCGTATGCTTCTTTCAGACGTTTTTCATCGCTAGTTAATGTACTTGGAAACTGCACACCTGTATCTCGTATGCTCCTCATCTGAAATTAAAGCAATTATCTTAAACCTATTTTTTCCCCCGTATTGCAACTGCCTTCTTCATCACTTTTCTATATCACGAAATTCAATCAAAATTTTCGACTTCCATAATGCATACGAATCTATTAAAAAGTAGTCTACAAGTGAATACTTTCCTTGATTTCAAAGAACTATAACACAGTATTTGAGCAGAATCATCACACCAAATGCAGACAAAAATTAGAAAAACTACAATGATTTATTAAATAAACATGTTTCAACAATTCATTTCCAATTTAGATGAAATAAGAGAACCAAGAGGAATCATAAATAAATCCCTGCAATGATTTAAAAGGACCAAAAACCACTTCAACAAGTTATAACTAGACATTGGAGAGATAACAAAAAGCAACACTAGAACCATTACTTGTTAAACTTCTCATTTTATTAACTTTTTTGAGAGGTGTGTTTAAATTTAAAACTCCCTTTATTTGAGACAAGTAACTCATTACCAAATAGCTCTCCATCTTAATTTTATAATTTTAAACCCGAAAAACCCTATTTTCAAGCATGAAATGTACTTCAATCAACCGAATTCAATTACAATCAAAAAAAAAAAAAAAGGATAAAAATTCTTCGAGGATTTATACCATCATGTAATTTTTGCATTGTTAATTCTTAAATTTTTAAAATCATCAAAAGCTGGCGATATCACAAAACAACAACGGTAGTGGCAATTAAGAACTTTGAGTCATAAACCGTTAATTTATTAATGACACTGTTATCATCAATAAATATGTAAGGTTTACTTTTTAGATAAGAGAGAAGCAGGTCTATCTCCCTAGTCAAAAAGAATTCCTGGAAAAAGCTACAGCAGAAATTATCAAATTTTTTGTTAAATTTTTTTTTAGACCAAAAACTTCACGCTAATGATCGAAGTGGTAGATAGACTGAAGAAAATTTAGTAGCGTCATTATTATGAGGTATATCATGCTCAATGGTCAGATAATCAGACAAAAATGAAGGAGCACATTTTTAAAGATGTAAGGAAAGTATAAAGAAAGGAAGCAATAAAGGAATGCTCTTATAGAAAAAAAGAAATACAAATGTAATGCGACCTGTTTTAATGTTAACAATAGAAGTTTCAACAATTCATTTCCAGTGATTTAAAATTTCCCATAAAAAAACACGATGAAAAAGTATGCAAATGTAAAATACATATATATTAACATATCATCACATCATCGGAGCACCCAAACCTGTGCGCACATATTCATAAACATAATAACTTATGGCAACTGCTGGCACAGCTTTCACTAAATTAGCAGTAAGTCCCCGATAAAATCCATACAGCCCATCATTTTTCCAAATGTATTGCATTTGTCCATTCATAGTATCTGGTTGAGTCAAATTATCTGATATCGCTGAAATATGCATTATAAAACAGAAATGTCACGGTGTGACATAGGAATGTTAGAATTGCATTACATCATTTCTATTACTCTACGTATAAAAAAAATTTGACAAGACCATACCACTTCAAAATTAGGTAAAATTAACTAAATATAGAGCCTAATTCTATCAATGAAATAAAGCATACCTAGAGCTTGCAATCGCGTCCTCACGAGAGCAAACGGATAACTTGCTAACATACCACAAATAGAACTGCACGCACCACATACTGGAAGAGCGACGATATCACGAACTGGATGAGCATTGTAATTGTTCACATAATAACTTTTAAGTGTTTCATAAATAGCCAGATCAATACCCGCATAAGGAATGATGCCGATAAGATTGGGAACAATTCCCTAAAAATAGACATCGACTAAACCTGTAAGATTTATCTAGTGAATTTAAGAACAATTGTAAACCAATATTTTACCCTATAAAAACAAAGAAAGCCTTCATTTCTATACATTTTGACGGCAAGATCGACTAAACCGCTTTCCAATTGATTACTGCGCCGCAGCGCTAAGCGTGTTTTTAATACCTGAAAGTCGGAAATCAACGAAATTTTGAATTTATAGAAGAGACCTCGAAACTAAACTAGTGCAAATGATATGCAATTTGGGTGTTGAAAAGACTAAAACGAATAGAAGAAACAAAGAAAAACAAAAAAAAACGTACTTCCAAAGGATAGACAATTGTTTGAGACACTAAACCTGCAGCAGAACCCGCAGCAAGCCGTTCTGATATTTGAAGCTTGTGACCTTCGTCTCTATGTTTAATAATCAGTCGCTTAACCTGAAATATGATGTTATGCAGGATAATAATTGGTCGTGGTGCTTACTAAAGTATTCGATATGAGAGGACACGTACAACGTCATAAGAAAGAAATTTGATAGCTGATTCGGGTGCAATTTTCGCGACATTAACACCATTTCCTCGCCAGAAAGATTTCAGTCCACCTTCTTCATATAAAAGTTTCGCAGCCTTTGGAAACCGTAATCGGTTGAGTAGAGTCGCATGAACCTAAACCAAGCAATATTTTAAGGAATAATAATGGGCATAAAGATATAAAATTTTATTTTAATACAACATAACAATAAAAAAAAAAACGCAAAAAACTCACTTGAAGATAAATTTTTACTCGATCTAACGGTGCCGTACACGTTCGACTCACACATCCTGCAATTCCACCAGCCACCAAATGTTTCCACCAAAATCCTGAAGCGATTTCTTGCTGCGAAAAATCTTCTGGAATCTGGCTATCTTCACCGATATCAATTACCTATGATACAGCTGAGATAAATCAGCAGAAGATAATAAATTATTGTCGTTAAAACTTATTTTTCCTGAATTTTTGAAAAATATGGAGTATTCGAATGTAAAAATTCGCAGCAAAATTTAACCAAATCATGCTTCCAAAATTTCGCAACTTCTTCTGGTTTGGATCGAGGATAGAACAACATAAAATCTTTGAATTCTGAGAAATTCACAGAAGCTGAGTTTGTGCGTGCCATCCTGAATGAGAACACATTGAACTTTGTTCTCTGATTCCAAGATGCATCTTCACTTGTTTCTTTTTTTTTTTTTAAAGGTAAATACAAAGCGCCGGAATATACATGGCAACAGATTTGTTTCAGCCGGCTAACTAATTTCAAAACAATGCTTCCCTATATTCAGCTACGTCTTCCTAAGAAAATACAAAAGAATTTCTTTATAAATAATTTCGGAATTGACTCAAACATTCCATTTGCCTTCATTTTATAACTTCAAAAATGGACGATAATTTCTACTGCTACAAAAAAGAACAGACAATTTACCAATCAACAATTCCTTGTGCTTTTGCTTCGGTTATTGGGAGACCGAGATTTTCGCAATATTTCTTGATCTCCTGCACACCGACATAGCCTGAAAAAAAGAGAAAGCTTTTTTTCTGACGAATGCCCAGAAAATGAAATTATATCTGCAATAAGTCCGATAAAAATTCAGCAGAAGTCCTGGAAAAGCGAAATAACAGGAATCAATTATTTCGATTTTCTAAACCATAAAAAAATCCTTACAAAACTAGAAAGTAACAAAGAGAGGAAAAACTAACCCGTGTTATTCTTATCTAAATCTCGGAATATGATTTCCAATTTCTTCTCATGTTCAACAGCATACTGTACAAACTCCGCAAACGTTATTATATCGTCATTTAAATGGTCAATTTGAGCAAACAATTCCTGGAAATTTATTAAAGAATTTTGAAAGAACAATTTGAAAACTGTAAAACACAACTGAGCAAAAAGTCCGGTAAATTAAAAACAACTGACAAAAATATACGTCTTAAATTTGATTCACACAATTAATTGACCAATGAATTCAAGTGCCAAAAATCTTACAGGTATAACACCACTCGGTATATAAGGAGCCCTCTGCTTGAGAGCATTTCTCAAATCTTGCATATCGATGGATCCATCCTCATTCATATCTAGTCGTTTATACAACTCTCGTAATCGTTCTTCTTTTTCCTCCGAAATGCCATGCGTATTCAAATGCAACACAAACAACTGATCCTATAATGGTATTGTCCAGGTAAAAGCATATTCACAGTCGATCATGAAAGAAACAACTGTATTTTATGATGGAAATTTTACGATGAAAAGTTATCCAACTGAAGTTAAAAAGTGCCGTTTAAATTCTTTGCAACAGAAAAGAACAAAAGTCATTGGAAAACCTCAAACTATATCAAATTCGAAATAAAACTGGTAAAGTTTTATGATAACCTCGTTCAGATGTGACGCTGAAGTTTCTACTGTAACGCCACATGATGGTGCGACAACTTCCGATATGCGCGACAAACTTTCTAAATGATAATTTCAGCTTGTTTTTTTTTTTCCAAACATTTCACGGAGGTCATTTTATTAAACCTAGATTTAAATTTTCTAATTCAACTTTAAATAAATTTCCGAAAAACGAAAATTTGATACTTCATAAATAAAGTAACTCATCGTACCAAATCTGACTCTATATTACCTCCGTAAACTCAGATATACCACTTGAAAGTTACGCACACTTTGTTAATCCTAACACTGTTTTATTTTACTTCCACCATTCTTAATGCATCACATCATGTATATGAAGTAAAGAAATCCTGCACTTACAGTTCGCAAAAGAAAACATAAAAACAAAAAATAAGTTACGCGAAAATTGTAACATAAATGACTCTCTAGTTTAATAAAAATTTTAACAAAAAAAAAAAAAAAAAAAAACTTTGCAGTTTGGTGACATGTTGCACAGAGTCCACACTCATCGTGAACTTCCACTGCTTCAAAATTTATAATATTCGAAGCGTCTTCAACTCTGACCAGTACTTTTCTCTCGATGTCAACTTATCCAGTCTCATTAAAATGAAATTAAATTAAAATTCACTAGTCACTGAATATGACCATACCAATATTCATCTGAAATTCAGTGATTAAAAAAAAAAAAAAGACGAAAAGTAAATATTGCTGAGGAAACTGAACAACAGCAGACTAAATGCTAGAGATTTTTGTCCATCACTATGCCAATATCCCATCTGAAATTCAGTGATTAAAAAAGAGAAAAAAATACTTTTTTCTAAACTATCGTTTCACCTCATTACATAAGTATTTGTATCTTCTAACAAACCACTTAAATAGTCTAACTTCTTCTGTATGGAAATCAGAACTGCTCGTTATAAATCATAAAGTGAACAAAAATGCCTATAATAGAAATTAGAAAAGACTTTACCAAAAAAAAGAACTTTCCCAAAGTTATGGTTAATTATAGTTACAGCACAAGAATCGGTTAAGAAAGATAAACTGCATAACCGATGAAATCCTCTGCCACGGTCAATTAACGCAGGTAAAAAGAGACATTCTCCCATAACTGCCCCTTCATACGGAGTTCTCTCTTCGAATGTAATGAGATGACAGACAGCTATACGAATTGCAGAGAGTATTGATTATGAAAGATCCAGGAAAAGATGTGTAGCGTTCGTTAACGTTGTGGATGAGCTGAGTGCGTGAAAGAGAGAGAGGCGAAGGTAGGGGTGACGTCCGTGTGGTACAGCGACGTGTGGAGCGTGGGGATCATCTTGCACGCTTTTATCATATTTTTATGCGTGGAAACGTTGTATTTTTTTACCGCTTAAAAATAACTTGAAATGAAGCAGAAAACTATGTCATTTAATTAGACTGAAATGCTGCATGCGTTCCGGTAAAAGTACGACGTAAAAATTAGATACGTGTTTGGTAATATAACCAAATTGTATTTGATATGATGTATCTGGATGTACTTTTGTTAAGATATACACAAGTTTGCTTAAATTTCATAAGTTGAAAATTATCGATTTCAGTTCAGAGTGCTCTTTGTGAAGTCAAAAATGGCGCAAGTATCAGCTGCAACAGTGAGGAAGAGTGGCCGAAATATAGCAACAAAAGCGCTGATTGTGCAGGAATATAAACGACGGTTAAAGGATAACATCAAATCGTTGAATGATAACTTTATTAATATTATTTCTGTCGCAAAGGTTATCATATTCTTCCTTCTTGATCATTTTTTTCAATATTAATTGCTTTTTATCTTCTGGAATTACTTGTATTGGTAAAGAACACATTTTTCGCCTCAAGTCAGTAATTACTCCATTCTAAGTTTAATTCATTAACAGTGAAGTCACGAAATTGATTAAATACAACGACTGAATGACTTATTCATGAAATCATAGTCATTCAGTCACTGTTACATCAGGAGATTGCCTTATGCCCAAGTTTTCCACTAAATCTTTTGTTTGGTAAGATTAACTTGCAGATTAATATTGATGATGCAGCTCACAAAAATCCAGTAGGTCGAATGAGTGATTATTATACAATGAGGAACGAAACTGCTGCACGGGCTGCTCTGATGGTTGGTGAGAATTTTTGAGAGACAGATATAATCGAGACAGATATTTTTAATATGCTTATTTAAAGGCTTTATTTATTTACATTGTAAAAACTTGCTTACTATGGTAGGCAAAGGAAACTTTTTCAAGATTAAAAATTAAAAATGACAGAGAATTTAATGTTGTTCATTCTTTGGGAAGCAAAAGCAGATTACGAAAGCATTTTTCTTATTTTACTAAATTATCATGGGATTCGCCTTATATCTGATCATAGTACCACAAATTACATGAAATTTTCCGGTAACTAAGTGTTTTCAATAAATTATTAACAACAAACTATCAGGCAATCATTTCAACATATAATTGTTAGAAGTACCAATATTTTTTTTAATCTAAGGCTAATTTTCAGATACGAGCTGCAGATGAGTTGTTGAAGTTAACTCACGACCTTAAGGAATTCCTAATTTTGCATGATTTCAATTTTTTGAGTTATGCTATCCAGAAGTATGCTTTCTCATAGCTTTAAGATCCGATAACAGTCTGGTTTGACTTAGGAAACAAAAAATCACTTGTTTAAGATTTAAGAAAAAAATTCTTGATATGCATTTCTTTTATTATTGGTAACTTTTCGTTGACTGCCATACCCATGGTTGCAGTGGGGACATGAAAAACTTTCTCTTATTCCAAAAAAATACATTGCGCATTTTGCTGAATTATAAGGGTTGCCTGATTAAGTAAATTATTCTGTAAACGTAGGGAATACTACTAATATTGTGGGATGTTTTTTCATTCTCTATGTTAAGGATGTTTTAATTTGTCCTTTTGATAGAATACGTGAGTTTTCAAAAGAAAAAAAAAAGACATGCTTTTTCCCAAATTGAAAGTTGATTAAAATATTTTTTAACTTAACTTTTTCTTCAAGGTTCGCAGTTACAACTTGTTTTCAACATAAACTTCCATTTTCAGTGCAGAAGATCGAGCTGAAAAAAAAATGGACGACTGTATATTGCGGTATGACGCAATGCGTTTGGATATATCATCCATGGTGACAGATATAGATAGGGAGTTGATGGATCATTTTTCAATTAGGCATTAAAATTCATTTCTATTATGTCGATATATATTTGTATATATGCATACATTAATAAATTATTGATCTCATACTCTTGATTTGCCAACATAAAAGAGTTGTTTCCTTTATACGTGTTTATGTACAAATATGTATGCATATACATTTGTACTTGTTTCTGTTCCAACTGAATGATCGGAAAGCTTTGCTGTCTGACTGCATAAGGTTGTGGCCTTCCATTTGAAATTTGTGTAAGGAGTCAAAATTAACTCCTTCCGGGATTACGACATGATGTTACTATTGTAAGGGATGTAAAGTTCGTCGTTTAATATTGAATGCTGTTGGGATTTAAATGCAGATAGTTCAGTTCAGTTAACGTTAAATAATTCATGCAAATAGACGAGATACGGGATAGTTCTATGTGGAAAGTTGCAATTGTTTTGACCACATTGTCGATATCATTGTTAAGAGGTCAGGAATAATTGTGATAAAGTCACATTTTCTCAAAGAGCAAGCTTCTTTTTTTTTTTTTTTTTTTCCTTTTTTATGCTGGAGCTAGCTAGTTTCACCGGTTGGAATGTGTTTTCTCTGCTTTCAGCATCACTGGATGATTAATATATGTTATGGTTGAGCCTTATAAAGATCCATGGAAAGAATACAAATCAGCATTGGATTCATTAAAGAAGAAATTTCTGAAGAAACCAAATAATCACCAAGTTTTGGCGGAGCTTGCAGATTTAGCACTACGTTTTGAGTTTGACTTTTTAATCTTTTATAGAATTATTAGAATATGTTAATTATTTGACTTCACACTTCATTGAATTCTTGCTTCGAGTTTGTGAATATAGAAAATGGAATCCTTTGCACTTTGTTGTAAAGTAAATAGATTTTTCCTCCTACTTATGGCAATCCGGTTGAACAATTCATTTCAATATTTCTTAATCAAGAAAATTTTATTGATGTGAAACAATGTTTCTATATTAAATAACTAAGAAAAAGTTAGAACAAAAGAAAGAGAAAAACAAGGAGAGGCGACGATTTTTGAAAAATGTATTAATGAAAGTGTTCTCACTTGAGCTATTAGAGAATTCTTATTTCGCTTTTGGAAATTATTTAGGGATGAAGAATGTGAACAGTATGCTGGTATGTGTCATATACAAATGGCAAAAATTAATGAGAAAATGGGTGACTGGAGTATGCAGTATAGCCATTACTTAAAAGCCGCCCGGTGCTTCAAAAATGCAGAAATGAGGAATTACGAAATGAACATATTTGGTAATCTTTTTATTGTCCACAAATTTTTAGAGTGTTGCTTTATTAGGAAGCTGTCTGTCGACTTATTATCTTATAACAAAAACCAAACTTGGTTGGTTTCCAGTGCAAAAGTGTGTGTTCTTTCAAGGAAATGAAGCTATTCACTCAAGAAGTTTAGGAAAAATTTTGTCCATTTATTCTTCAGTTGCTATCACTGTATAGACTGTTATAAAAAAGAAAATATTTGATCTCAGATGAAGGGAGCGCTACCTAACGAAGATAAATGCATGGTAAAGGATAATTATTTTATTTAATATGCTGATTCAATTTTAATGTTTTTATGCCCAAATAACTATGTTGATTGATTTGATTTAATTCAACAATATGACATTAACTTATTAGTCAGTTATAGCTTACATGATTGCAGCTTGTTCTGATCATTTGAATTATATGCAAGATTGTTATAATCGCGCAATTGAGTTAATTCTCAACCATCAGGGATTTTGGCTGGGTGGCTTACACTGCACCGAGCTTGGTTCTGCACTGTGCAGTATTGATGAATATCAGCTAGCGTTACCGTTTTTGTTACGAGGTTTTGTATACTTCATATTTGCAAATTATGAAAGTCTTATCTTACATTTGAAAATGTATGAGAAGTAGCTTGCTTTTTCAATATATTTATATCACGGTGAATGATAGAGCAACAAGGAAGGAGGCATTTCTGAAACTTTTCCTTTCAGTACATTTGATTGTTAGGTATAAAAAAATTCAGATTATTTTATCTATTAACAATATTATTACTTTATATTTGTTCATTTTTATTAACAATATTATTACCTTATATTTGCTTATTTTTAAGGAGCGGAATTATTGAAAGTGGAATTTCGTAGTCAGTTAGCAGCCTTAGAGAAATTAGCGGCCTGCCAGGTTGAATTGGAGATGTATGCAGACGCACTTGCAACTGTTGATGATCTGTGGGCACTTCATATGAAGAATACAGATAATCCAAAGTGAATTGCTGTTTTATACTTTTTTCATTCCAAACAAATCATTTTAAGGTCTGAACGTCCTGTAATATGTTTTTTGCTTTAAAGTCCTAGTAACGATTCTTTGATATAAATAAAAAATTTTTCGTTTTTTAGATTTGGTTATGGTGAAGAACTTTTAAAGGACTGTGAAATTGCGTCAGTACTTTTGCTGTTACGAAAAGTAAGCAATTTTCTAATTTATGTGAATAGCTTAGCTTATTCAATTTAGCATAATCAATGTAATTTATCTATGAGAACTTGATTTCGACTTAGTACCATTTATGACTTCAGTTTCAATTTCAGTGCTGCATAATTTGGGCCCAGACTAATGGGAAAATAATTTTTTAGACTAATGTAGATCGGCACGAGGCTTAAAAGAGATGCTATCTTGAAAAATGATACCCATATAGGTTGTGTGTTAGAATTAAATCGTAAAGAATGCTATAAAGAGGCCAAAAGTTCGACTGTGAGATATACTATGCCGAAAGCTAAGTTTTGAACATTTATTGGGTAATAAGATTTTGTATTGATTGCAAAGTTTGTGAGTATAATGTACTGATGCATTTTCCAAATCGAATTTGCAGAATGATGATATATCTGCGCGACATCGTCTTCTATTATCAATGTATGATGAGTCATCATTGTTACTTGATGAGAAAACAAAAAAAGAACGGAAAATACCATGGAAAAAACTGCCACCAAAAGATTCTTCATTATCAAAGGATTTGTATTTCTATTTTTACGAGTTTGTAATGGCGCTTCGGCATGGTGATGTTGAAATGGCTAAGAAAAGTTTCGATTTTCTCGAGAAACATTTTAACTTGATGAACAGTAAGCTAGCTATGAAGTTGCTGGATGATGTTATGGATAGAGGTGGATTGGATAAAAGAGGTTTTGCTGATAAATTTATTTCTTGTTAGAAATTTTATAGTAGTAATAGGTGCTCAGATGGCAAAATGATGGTAGATTTTGAGATAGTACACTAAATTTGATATTTTTATTTCAAATTTTGGAGAATCTATTCTGTTTTGCTTAAAAACGGGTGACTTTTTCAAGTTTTCTGCAGTCACGTTTTTTATTGGTATAATTATACATCCTCGGTCTTTTATCTATATATTCGTTCTTTTTTTGTGTTCTTTCGTATAATGTCATGCTGTTTTAAACAGGTTAAATTATATTCGAAATGTAATTTTGCCACAAAAATCACCAAAGATAGAGAAGAGAAGAATTAGTTAGTGAAGTAACATTATCTCGAATATTTCAAACATCGGGATATTCCCCCTTCCTCTTTGGGATTTATTTTTTTTTAATTAAACACTGAAGTAAAACTAAAAATAAGTGGGAAGCTTTCACTATTAAATTTTTGTCTAATGTTAAATATAAGGTGCTAGTCTATCCAGATCGGGGAAAAACATTGTCATTGTTCAGCTCATCAGTCAAAGTTTTGTGTATTTTTTATAACGTTTTGTAATAGTTTTGGCTATTGGGACTTTTCAGGGCAGAAAATGGTAAAAACTACCAAATAATTTACAAAAGTTTATTTAACATTCCGCTTAATATATTGTAAGAGAGTAAAGAAATGAACAGTGTAAATAAATTATTTTTAATCAGTAATATTGACAATCCATGGAATTTATCCGAAATATGGTTAATACTGTTACTCAGTATCTTACTCATTCAGAGTAAGTTCTGTTAAAGTATTCCAAAAACTTAAGTTGACCAGATGAAATGTGCTATATACTAGCACTACGAATGTACTAACAGGCAGTGAATGTTCGGAGACATTTCGGAGATGTACTTTAGTCACGCAATTGATAAATTAATGGTAAGTGCAGAACATTTTATATAGGAATAATGTTATGTAAACTAGCTTAGTCAAAAATTTCCGGTTCTGGATTTTAAAAGTTTTTCAAAATGTCTTGAAACTAAAAGATTAACATCAAACAATTCGAGACAGACTTGAGATTTGAATTGAGTTATGCTGTTAGTTACAATTCGATGAATAAAGACATATCGTTTAGAGCGGTAAACTCTAGTGCGGTATGTAATAAGTGCAACAATAATTATTTTTCCATTTGATATATTACGACGCTTTCATCGTAATAAATATCAATTATGTCAGAAATAAAGCAATTTTTCAAAATTTATTATTTAAATTATCAGTTTGGAATTTGCAAATAAAAAAAAAAAAAATAGCCTACCTACCTATTTACAGCGGAGTGTTGTATATGCTCGCATTCCACACTGCCATTACATGTGATGACAATGGTGACATGATGCTACCATGAGCGCACGACGATCGCGCACACTGATCTGAGCGATCCCATTGCTACATCGTCGTACATTTTCTTCTCTTTCTTTGTTATTAATTTGAGACATAGAATTTATTTATATTTTAGATTTTTATAAAATCTTATACCTTTTTTTTTCGTCATTTTTTATTAAATATTAGCAACATTATCATGAAATTTGTATTTAATTAAAAAATTAGGACTTATTCACGCAGAAGAAAATATGTAAGAAGTTTTAATTTGTTGCTAATTTATTGTCAGTCTAATGACATGTTAATATAAATATTTAAGGAACATTCAAAATTCCTCTATTTTTTGTAAATTTGTAGATCAGTGCAAGTCAAGAATTCCTGGACTTTTCACATTTTACTATCATTAAAATTCTCTCTGTTTCCTATTTCATGTCAGTTCTGCGATTACAGGCAAAATCTCTAATAAGTTATCCTTTAGAATATTGAATGAATTTTCAATTTTTTATATAACATACTATTTTCCACTGCAAAATAAACTTGTTTCTGCAAAATATGTATATATCATAATTTAAAGGGAGCGAATAGCAGATGTCGACGAATGATTTATCAACAAGATATGGAAAATTGGATGCATTTGAAATTGAAAAGAAAATTGGTAAAGGACAGTTTTCGGAAGTGTATAAGGCACGATGCAAGGAAGATGGTAGTTATGTTGCTTTGAAGAAAGTTCAGGTTATTATTTGCTAAAAATTTTATTGCAGTTAATCTAATGTTATTGTCTATTCATCAAATATGCTCATATAATTTGATGAAAATAGTTTATTTGGAGATGCTGAGTTTCATCCTACGTTTGATTACCGTGTGTTTTGCTTTTTCTAAGATAATGAAAAGTTTCGTTTATTTCTTTGGTGATAGTCAGTGCTGTAGAAAAAATTGAGGCTTTTTAAAGTAAGTAAGTTACAAGTCTTTCTTATTCATTTTTATTTTTTTCCAAAGAAAAAAGGATCCAGCATTGCCTGAATTTCCTTGTATTTATTGTTTATATTCCTGCCTAAGGTTTATGATATGGTAGATGCGAAGGCTCGACAGGATTGTATCAAGGAAATTGATCTTTTGAAGCAACTGAATCATGTTAACGTTATTCGATATTACGCTTCATTTATTGAAAACAATCAATTGAACATTGTTCTCGAACTAGCGGATGCAGGCGATCTAAGTCGCATGATACGGGTTAGTCTATAAAGTTTTCTCTTCTTTTTTTTTTTCTTTATGATCAAAACAAATTAGTATACCTAAATGTTTAGCACTGCACTGCCATGAAGATATGTGCTAAATACTTGTCGCTGTTATATTTTTTCATTAACAACATAATCTCTTAAATTAAGAGCAACTCTCCTAAATTTGTATTATATTTGCTATTTCTTATTCAGTACGAATCAAAACTTATCAGCTGTAAATTTTTTTTATAACTTTTCGAATTTTTTTGGCACACTTAATTTTTATAGCATTTCAAGAAAAGTAGACGCCTTATTCCCGAACGCATCATTTGGAAGTATTTTGTGCAATTAGTGCGTGCACTGGAGCACATGCATTCAAAACGAATCATGCATAGAGGTAGGTTTAACTTATACTTAATGGTAAACTAGTTATAAATTAATTGTAACAAAATAGTCTTCTATTTTTTACCCGTTTTCATTACATCTTTTCAATGCATCTCGTTATATCCAATGTTCTTCTGTACGCTCTTTGTTATCATACAAGACCAATATTTCTTATATTAATTTGATGTACTGTGTAGATATCAAACCAGCAAACGTATTTATTACTGCGGATGGTGCCGTCAAACTTGGTGATCTCGGACTTGGTAGATTTTTCAGCTCAAAAACTACAGCGGCACATTCTTTAGTTGGCACACCATACTATATGAGCCCCGAAAGAATACAAGAGAATGGGTATAATTTCAAATCAGATTTGTGGAGTATTGGTTGCTTACTGTATGAGGTAGGTTGTTGTATATCGCCATTTCTGCTAAAATTTGAATGCATGATTGTTTTCTTTTCTACTTATCCTTTCTTGAAGTTTGATCTAGATATCATTTCTTGAAGCTGGAATAGTTGAATAATAGCGAACTTAAGCAAAGATAACGATCAAATGTTGATCATAAAATGGAAATGTGAACTGAATGATCAAAACCTGACGAATGGATGAAGTAGTGAATAATTTAGAAATTGTCATATGTGATAGGCTGCTGATCATTTAGTTCATTATCTTACATTGAATGAATATTTTGTGTTCATGTTTCTCCATATTTAATGTTTTTTTTTTTTTTTTTTTTTTGCAGATGGCTGCATTACAGTCACCATTTTATGGTGATAAATTGAATTTATATTCACTGTGCAAAAAGATTGAAAATTGTGAATATCCGCCTTTACCAGCTGATATTTATTCGCAGCAGGTTTTATTCTGATTATTCTGAATATATTATGACAATTTATTTTTCGGAACATCTGTACTTATCGTTTGCAATTATCAAATAGCATAATAACCTTAATTTTATCGGTCTGTTACAAAAGCAAGATTTGTTTTCAGTTGCGTGACCTAATATCTCGATGCATTTGTTCGAATCCGAGTAAGCGTCCTGATGTTGCCGAAGTACTTAATATTTCAGAGCAGATGAATGCACACTTTCAAGTAAATATTGTTCATTATCTTATGATTTTCCTAACTTTTTATTTCCCATGTCTGGAAGTCCTATCTTTTTTTTTTCTTGACTTATGATACAACATTATCTTTGTTGCTGAGACTATAATGAATGTTTTATTTCCATATGTAATTTACTAATTTCAGTCAGAAGGAGCAAAAACCGTTATAAGATCACATCATCGGAATCGAGGTGATACTGATTCAAGTACAGGAACTGTCGTTACACTTACTTCTTAGTATATGCATTTGAAAAACAAATCATAATACAAATCAAGCTACATTGATGCTTCGTTATATGTATTGATTGCACGTTTTTTTTTTTTTTTTTTTTTTTTCGTGAACTATATATTCTTTCAACTACTTTGTTTAAAACTCTATGCTTAACATTCTTATTAAAGATATGGACGAGAAGTTTCCACTGTCATTCTTATATGCTATTAAGATATCTACGTAGTTGTTTACTAAAACATGATTATGTATAAACTTTAGGTTTTAACTAACCAGGAAAGCATTTCTGCTTGTAAAATGAATTATTTAATGCTTCAAATATATTCATTTATATTTGAAGTCTAACAGTATTAGTTTAAGATACTAACAGTATCTTAAATTCATATTCTTTATCTAATCTATTTCTGTATACTTATCTGTTATATTGAATGATACAACAATCCCAAAAAAAATTATTATTTTTCATATCGGTTTTGTCCGTTCAAACTTTCAGAAGAGGGAATTGCACATGCTCATTAAAATTTACTGTCCAATTTGCATCACTCATCTTGTACACGAATATGTATGAAGGAATAAGTCTTTGTTTATGTAGCTGTGAAATTTCATTTTTACTTTTATAAATTCATTTATCTTGTATTATTTTATCGACTTCAACAGTTAGCGGATTTGCTGGTTTTGGAAAGTAGAAATAAAAGATGGTGAATTCCACGTCATCGATGGATTCTTTTTATGTTTCATTGCACATTCGAAATTGAAACTTTTCGTTAATGCTTTAAATATTTGCATGGTGGAAGATATTTTTAAATTAAAACACCAAAAATTGCTATGTTTTACAGCTTAATGGATGTAGTCTCTGATTTAATATGATTATTCATATTTTTCTTTCTTTTGCTGTATTTGACCTGGTTTTTTGTCAGCATTGCAGTTGGGTTGATGCGATAACGATACGTAAAGCTGATATAAAGGTTTTACTTTGTAAACTTTAAATGTATAGCATAGCACTTTGTTTTTGATGTCATTTCTAGAGAGTTTTTTTCATTTCAAAAGAATATTTCAATTATTGGCTATGGTCTTGTTTAATCTATAGTATCTGATTTCATGGGAGTGGTAGCGGTCTCCATCGGCACATTAGGATGGATGTCAGCATTGGCAGTTCAAATCGGTTTATGGATTGTTTAATTGCCTATAAGTTTATGATTCCTGCAGGTGCATATGTCGATCATGATAGGTATTCAATTCATTTGTTTCATTAATAATATAAAAGAATTTTTCAAAACGATTCATGATTATATTAATGTCTCGTTGACTTTTCATGCTGATTTTTCACATTATCACATTTAATAATCTTTTGTTAACATATAGTATACTCTTCTCATGCTAACAGACGATTCTATTTTCTAAACTTTCTTAAAACCTTAAAGAGACATAAAGAGAAATAGCAAATTAGTTATCGTTATATCACGATAACTAATTTGCTATTTCTATACAATCGTTTTGAGTAAATTTATAGTAGTGGGAATAAGTTTGCCATATTTTAGTATTTTTGAAATATCGCCGAATACTGTAATGTTACAAACATTAAAGCATTTAATACCATATTTTTACTGATGCATAAAAAAGAACAAAACTCTTCCACTTCCATTTTCTGTAAGAATGTCCAGAAGTAGTATTGCAGTATGAAAGAATACCCAACTCATGCATGTGCAGAGGCATCATTTGACGTTGAAGCTCCAAGAGAAAAATCGGAAAATACGCCACTTTATATTTGTTCAAAACGAGGATTAAGAAAAAATTTTGTTCACAGAGAGCATTTTGAATTACCAATACATTTACGTTATCATGCTGCCACCGGAGAAGGTTTATATTATTATTATTATTTTTTTGAACCATTGAAACAGTTTGCTAACATTAAATATTATGTTTATTATATTCATACTTGATTTTATCTTTTACGTTGCCAGTTATCGAACTGTCCTATTTCATTCATGATGTTCTTCGAATAAGAAAGAAATATATTTGCTTATACTCTTAATAAACTTTAATTTCAGATGCTGTAGTTACAGTGCAAGCCCCACAGCTACTTCTGAGATGCATGGAAAATTCCACTTTTCTGACCAGTCACTGCAAAAAATATTCAGTTAAAGTATGAATCAGAGCTAGTTGTGTGATATATTAAAGTTTTTTAATTAAATTATTCTCATCATTGATGTGACTTATTGTCTCTTTTTTGACCATCACCTATAATGATTACCTATAAGTGATAAGTAAATGTTGACAATTACTTATCATTGTTAGCAGTAGGAAAATTATTTGAACCACTATTTATCTGCAAATTCAAATTGTAAACATTTCAAACAATTTGTTCTTTTTTTATTTCTTGCAGGCGCCTTGTGATTGTTTAAACGAATCATACTGCGAATGGTTGATGATACCGTTATTAGAGTATAACACAGTACAATTCAAAGTACCAACTGGAAATGCATCTTCATTAAAATTTGTTTTATTCATTACTATTTTCGTTGTTATTTGCTGTGCTATAACAATAGTTATTGCTACAATGAAAAATGTTGTCAAAGTAAAAGTCAAGTAATATATCCTTTTCAGATCTCATCTAATCGATACATTCCAAATAAAGAGCTGTTCTAGGCCTCTTTTTCTGAGCTTATAGTCCATTACCATGTGACAATTTATAATATCATTTATCATTAATTAATGCATTTTGAGATTATGAGTAGAATCTTTGAACTGTACATGTGTTCCCTTTATATTAGTATCTTCTCAAATTATTTTTGTTGCAAAACCAAAATAAACCATTGTTTATTAGCATGAGAGATTTTCCTTTCCAGAGGAAACGGCAATTTTTGATCAGATACAATTAGGCTCAGTAAAGTAGTGATCATTGCTAAATAATAGATTAAGCAATCGGAAAGCAATTTATCATATGATTTTTCATAAAAATAAGCAGATATACACACGAGATTAAATCTCAAAAAAAAAAAGAAAGACGAGACTTATTGTACATAGCTAGTTCAAAGATGCTGAAAAAGGAAATAAGTAAGTTGATAATTCACTCAAACCTTGAACGAATGTTTAGTAAACGAATGGATCGAAATGTCGGTCGGTAAATATATTGCATCAATTAATCATATAGTTTGCCGGATAATTATGTATTTCAAATAAACATCAGAAATAGAGGATTTTATCTTATATATATAAGATATGGCAGTGCAGTTGTATTACTATTATCGGACAATATTACTTATTTAATTGTTAAAATATTTCTTACGAGAATAAAATGGTGACAAGCTGTAGGTGTTACAAAAATTGTGATGCTATTTGGACAGATAACTTGCAATAAAATTCAGTGGGCTACTGTTAATGGTCGATTCACGAATGCATTCGTACCATCTGGAATTTGAATAATTTGTATTTTCATATTTAATTTATAATTTTATTCTTTTTTTTTTTCGACATAGAATTGCAAACTTTTATTTTTCTCCAAAAATAACAAATTGCACTCCTTAAAGAATGCCTTTCAAATTTAACATTTATACGTTTTTATTTGGAACATTATATAAAATTTCATAATCCAATTTAAAGTTTTATTTTAAGATTTTAGAATTGCTAGTTTAATATGTAGAAGGAATTTAATAGAAGATAAAAAGTGAAGAATTTTATTATCATATAACTCCAATAGCTAAAAGAAAGTTAGAATCGAAGTAATGACATATCTGAACTATGAAATAAGCAATTAAATTCTGATAGAAACAAAAATTCGTTAATAAACTTACTTTGAAAAAGCATACAAACTATCTGCTCGAAAAAAATAACAATGTGTATTATACGACAGTTTGAAAACATTATCATAATCAATTTTATCATTAAGCTGTGGTAACGATATGTGATAATTGATAATTGGCAATACCGCTACAGCTTCTTTCTCCTGAAATTCATTCTATTAATAAGTAATTTTAAGGTCAACTATTTAATGATTTATTTCGCTCCACTGATTGATTGATTGATTAGATTATCTGATCTAATTTGAAAGTTTGTTTCATGCTAAGTTTACATCACTGTTAAACATATTTTTCTTATAAATAATATTTTAAATTGCCATATTCAATTATCGTAAATTTGTCACTTAGTATACTGTTGCATTGATATTATTACCTGATGTGATCGAAAGAATGTAAGTGCAAAATTTGCATGCACAACCCAAAATTTTTGCCATCCTGCAGAATTACGGAATTTACGTAATAAATATCCAGACATTTGATTAGCTGGAGCCTAAAAAAAGGGGTAGTTAAATAAGGTGATTTAAAGAATAAGATAAATTAAAAGTTAACTTCCTCAAACTTGAAAAAATGGAGAATAATAATGTTAAATCAATTTCTAGAAATTAAAATGTAATCCTTTTAAAATAAAATTTTTGAAAGATCAGTTAGAATAATATATTAATTAACCGTAATAATTGCATTAATTCCTAAAGTAGCATGACGATGCCAACATACATCCAATGTACTATATGGCATATTTGTAATTATTTTTGTGCCTATAAAATTAAACAAACTGTAACAATTGTACTTTTCTTTTAAAATAAAAAGATGATTTAAAGTATTAAATTTTATAGAAAAAAAATTTCATACTTTTATTAGAATTTGAATATTCGAAAAAATTTTTCAACTTCCTAAATTTACAGCTATTACTTAATAACATAACATATAATTTATTTTTTTATGATATAATTTTAAATTGTGATATAATTTAAAAAGGTTTTACAGTAAGTATTAAACTGTAAAAATGAAAAAAGATCAAATATTAAATTATAAAAATGAAAAATAACAACAAACCAAACGCATTAGTTGGTTCATACTTTTCCCACATATTATGACTGTGCGTAAATTTATCATTTAAACTTCCTTCCGTTATTACTGCAATTAACAAATAAGTAAATACGTAAGAAAGTAGAAATTTTATGCATTATGCTGAAAGTGAAATATGTGTTTCTTTTTGAACAATAAAATAAATAAATAAGAAAAACTGAAATCAAATTTAATAATAATAATTTAAAACAAATTTGAGAAATGATGCAAATGACTGTAGCAATTTTTCGATATTCCTATCATTGTAAAGTTTGGTTTATATGAATTGGATGATTCTTTTTGAAAATTAGTAATCATCCAATCGTTTTAATTTAATCCATTTACTAATGGAATTTCATTGTTGATAATTTTTAAATTACGAAAATACTGAATTATTTTACTTTTTACTTTTTGTACCCAAAAAAATTGAGTAAAAATTAAAAGTAACCAAAAGTTTCAGTTTGAGGTAATTCTTCAATATTGGAATGTTTAGCATTTCGAATAGCTTTCGTTAGTTCTTCAAGCCAAAGATCTCTCATTCTTGTACAATCACTAGATAACAAGAATGTACGATTAACCGCTTTTATGGTAAGACAAATAGTTGAATCAGTGACAACATGCAATGCATCACCTTCTTCTACCTATAAATATGCTAATAAAAAAAAAAAAAGTAACAAAACTAAATTTTAATCATGCGTAGGAGCCAAATATGACTTAAAAAAAAAAAAAAAAAAAACGTTTACCGTCATTGCACGTAACGGTAGAAAAGCATTACGTATAAAACCATCCGTTTGTGATCGGTAAGCAAATAATAATGCATCATTAAAAAGTATAATAGCATGAGGTATAAAACCACGTTTCGTCCATTTACATAACCAACCTTGGCGTATGAAACGCTGAAAATGAAATTTTAACTTTACATGGCGAAGTATACTTGCAAAAACAAATCAAACAAAAATTAAAAAAAAAAAGAACTTAATCGTAGACAAATATTTAACTTTTAACTGTGTTTTGGAAATTCTGTTAAAAGTGCCATAAATTGCAGTGTTTTCAATTACAAATGATATTAATGACGTGAAAATATAAATCTTTAGACCATTGTCAGATTTAATTAATTAATGTTTGTTTCAGTTTTGTAATTTAATCAAAAAAAAAAATGGTTGTTTTACTTCAGTTAGAATACTACAATAAATTATTTGCAATGATTCAATTAATTAATATAAAATTTAAGCATATCAATTCATGAAAGTAAAATGTGTGAAATGGACGAAATTAATTAAAATACAATGTATATGAAAATAATTGAATGAAAAAATGCAAAAGATATAATTTATATGTGAGATTTATGATGATTACTCGATTTGGATCGGTTAATCCATCAACAATATTTAAATCATTTCCAAGTTCAACGAATTTTGTAAAATGGACCAATCCTTCCAGCGTTAATTTTTTCTCAGTGTTAAATGATGCAACCTAAATAAATGTTTGTTGAAAAAAAAAAAAAGAATATTAAAGAAACACTGAAATCATATTCGAATGGCTAATCATTTTAGAAAGTTCATCTAAAAAATTATGTCAAAAGTTTACTCTAATAAATAATTAAATTTAATTTAATTTCATTATGAACCTTTTCCACAGCAACTCGACAACTACTCAGCTGTGATGCTATCTTATCTTCATCACTCTCTTCCAGAAGTGCAGCAATCATTCTTCCAAGCAACTAAATTGTACCATTAAATTATATGCAAAATTTCCTCAAAATTTAAAATGAATGATTAAACCTCTTAACTTTTATTTTGTATTATTATATAATTATAAGTTTACATTATTTTCTTTTTAAGCATAATAAATTTTAGTTAAAAAAAAAACTTACATTTTGCCATACAACCATACGATGCACTACTTTTAGCATTAAAAAATTAATGCTACAACTGTAAGAATTTCTCATTTGAAGTTTAATGAGAGAATCAGCAAAAGTGCTATTAATACGAGTTAATTCATCAATAGCTGCCAAATAAATTGGAGAACTTTGTACAAATTTTCTGTAAACAGGAAAAGATATGAAAACATAATTATTGATTAATTGATAATTTTATTTAATTTAAATTTGCCATTTTTGTTTAACATTCTATTCGAATATGTGTGCATGTTTGCAGTAGAAGACTAAATAATACGCCTAAAATTTAAGAAATTTACTATTTTATTTCAAATTGGTTATCAATTTATTGCAAACTGCAAAAAATTAATTGAAATTTATTTGATAGAACACTATTGATAATAAGTAAACAGAAGACGATGGTTAAATAAATAAAAGTAGGTAAAACAGTTAAAATGTTTGAAATGCTGGGATAAACAAAAAAAGAAAAATCACCCTATTATTTCAAAGAAACAATGATTTGTAATGATTCAACAATATACATAGTTTTATCAATTGAAAGTAGACGAAAGCATAAGGACAAAAGCGCTTGGTTGCATGGTGATATTAAAAATGCGTTTTTGGGATTGTTAAATTACTAACATATCTATTGAATAAATTTTAATATATTTTCTCAGTCAAAAATTAATATAGCTATGAAGGCAAGAAGAGAAATAATGTTGTTGAGAAGCTCAATGGAATTGTGATAAATGAAATGAAACTAACCGATAATATTGCAAAGCATTATGTACCGAACATAACAGGAGATCTCCGACTAAAGGTCGTTCCGGATTAGCATTTCTTAAGCAATCT